GTTACGTGACCCACCCAGGTCACGTGACACCCCTAGGTCACGTGACCCCCTTGAGGTCACGTGACCTCAAGGAGTCACCTATCCCTCAGTACGCTTCCATCTTCCTCCTCAAGAGCTGCGCTCTAACCGGCATTACAGGGAATTGTAAACGGCTTTCATTTTTTTTTCTGCTACTTAAATAGCAGTTGAGTCAGCCGGCAGTACTACCCTCAACTACTGCGTGTATTGCGGCAGGAGAGAACGTTTTTATTTATTATTTCCGACATCCACTCATGGTCGCTAAAGGCCTACACCAGTACGAACTTTGTATAGTAAAAAAGGTACAGCCCCCGGATTCACTTTTCGCCGGAGAGACAGGCCAGTCTGACATAGTTTTCCCTATTTTTTTTATTTGCACGCAGATAACAGCGCAATAGGACTCTGTTAGTCCTTTTTAACTAGGATAGTAATACACGATAACTGGCATACCAAAATCTGCGCATCTGCGCTTGAAATTTCCAAAATGACGCGATTTTAAACAGAGTTTGTACGCCAGCCGGATGCTAGGTACTGCCCACTCGGCGGAGCGGACGACACCCGGGCGAGAGAGGGAGGGCATTTTTTTCTCTTTTTACCCTCTCTGCTATGACCCTAATGGAACGGTCTATACATAGGTTGCACTGACGTCACGTCGCATATTTTTGGCCTCCATGTAAGAGGAGGAGAGGGAAGCTGCTTTTGTAAGAATTTTGAGTGACGGGCTAATCTTTTCTAATCTTCTGGGGGGAGAATAGCGACGACTGGGCAAATCCGGGCGGCACAAAAGGGGGCCCTGATAAGTGCGGAGCTTCTTCTCGCCCTCCTCTCTGGTGGTCATCGTAGCGCCTGTTGAATGACGTCACGTGCAAGCCATGTATAGGCTCCTTGCACAGACGTCACATCGCATACTTTTGAACACCAAGTAAAAGGAGGAGAGGGAAGCTGCTTTTGTAAGAATTTTGAGTGCCAGGTTAATCTTCTATAACCTTCTGGGAGGAGAATAGCGACGCCTGTGCAAATCCGGAAGGCACTAAGGAGGATCCTGAGAAGGGGGGAGCTCCTTCTTCCCCTTTTCTCTGGAGGGCATCGGAAATGACGCCATGTGCAAGCCACGTTATGGTTAAGTGCAAACCACGGAAGTCAAAAGACCGGATGCCAGCCGAACGCTGACGCGGCGCTTGTCTCCTCCTTGATTGGACACCAGAGCGAACCTCTTCCTCGAGTGCCTCCGTGTTACTCCTGGCGGGGGTAAAATATCACGTGTTCAGACATAAAGCGGCGCCCTGCTCCGTGCTTCCCCAAAGAAAGAGCTCAAAAAAAAAAAAATAGAGAAACAGAAAAGCAGAAAAAGAAAACAAAAAACATTATGTCGAAATCGCTGTTGTGGTTACGCTGATTCTCGACGAAATGCGTTACCATATAGTGCAGGAGTTACGGTCCGCATACTTTTGTGTTCAGAGAGCCAGTCTGTTTGCGTCGACGCTTTCGGACGCAGCTATACCACACGGCTTGCCTCGATCGCCGCCTACGGTCCGCATACAGTTGCCTCTTGAAGAGCCAGCCTTTCTTCCCGGTTGTCGGCGGTTTTGCGCAAACCGCGTCATCGCTTTGACTCTGTTTTACGTCGTCGCGTACGTTGTGCCCCCGCCACGGCCGCTCGGTCCCCTGCTCTGCCGCTCCCAAGGCGCCTCATTGGAAGCGGGTAGGAAGCCTCTTTCCTTGTAAGAGGGAAAGCAAACGTAACGAGCAAACGAAGGGAGCGAAAGAGCACGGTGGGAACCGGACCGCGGCCTAACGAAAGCAGTCCAGTCCAAACCAAACCACGACCGTTCGAACGAAAGACGTCTGCATGAACCATGGCAATAAACGTCTTTACAAAGAAGACTCCTTTGCCCTAACGGGATTAACTGTTCCGAATGTTTGGTTCTTTTGCCTCGATCTAGTGAAAGGGATATGGTGGCGCACATACGCAGCGCCACTTCTCCCCCTGGTGGGGCGCGCCCATATTAGTAGGCGTACGCGGAGCAGACGGCGCGGAAGGCTGGTGCGCTTGTCGAGCTGGCCTCGCGCTTCGTACAATAAGGTGTCGAAGGCAAAAGAGCAGGTCACCAGATATCGTTGTGTAGTCTAATGCCACCACATCGCAGTAAAGAGAAAAGGAAATGTGTCACCCGAAAAATTATATTCGTTTCCATGGGTGGTGACTTCAGAAAGATCGTACAAGGATATGCTGTGCGGAGGACGCGTTTAAATATTGTTTCCCTGTTTTGTCGCATGCTTCAGTCCTGCAACCACGCTTACTCGTCACGTTAAAAGAAACTCTTTGTAGATCGCACGGAAGTGCATGCAAGAGTTTTGCGTTGCTTGAGGGAGCTCGTGCCGTCACTTTGAGGGCTGACTGATGTTGCACCCGCGGGGCCCGTAATCGGCAGTTGCAGTTCTACGATAAGTCTCTAATGTATTGGCTACGATGGTTTCCCGTGGCTGTCGATAGAAGAAACTAAATTATGCAATATTCATATTTTAAACGACACTATAATTGGGAACCGAGCTCACTTTGTTTACCTCTCAATTTTGTTCCCCGATGTTTACAGGAGAAAGGGAGTAAGCGGGGAAAGACGCAAGAGGTAAAATGAGGCAGATAATCGTAGCTCGTATTGCGCACTGATCTGAATATATAGTAAAAAAACAAAAATTGATAATGGCGGCTGTATTCGTTTAAAAATATTATTGAAAGGATGTTGTAGTTGGCCTACAAGAGGCATAATTGCTTTCCAAGAAACAAAAAAAAAATATAAATTAGAACATTCCTGGGTTCATCAATTAGAACGTGTTACTAAATATAACACGTGAATATTAAAGGTATAAAATGAAAACAACATAAAAGGGGAAGAGGGTATGGCTCGTCGAAAGCGTAAATAACTGAACATTTATGGCTCAAAGTCAAAGTTAATTAAATTTTTTCGCAGAGAGGGGGAGCGACAAGTAATATTGACGATCCTTTTTTAGCGCAGGGGGTTCTAGATATACAAAGTATAACTGTGCGTAAACAGCAAACAAGACGCAATGTCACGCACGAAAACTTATTTGTAGTTACCCGCCATTCTGTTCAAAATTAGCATGCTGGGGTCACCTAAAAAAAATAAAAAATTAAAAAAGGAAGGCGTAATTATTGGCGCGAATGTAAGTCGATCGGCGAGTCACTCCTTTTACTGATAAATTTATGAGTGCGTTACTGACACACGCACGTACATGAATTACGATTCCACCGCTTTGACGGGTGCACAAACACAATATATTGCGGCGGGTAGTAATTTCTATTCGACCCGTTTACAATGTCTGGGAACAGATGAGTCGTGGCCGCCCGCGGCATGCGCGAAAAGACAATTTAGGAAATATAGCATCATCATCCTTCTCCAAATAACTGATTTTCAGAAGCGAGCGAAGCCATTCAGGCATTACACAGTAGTCGTACACTACCGCTTGGCCGTACGATGATTATTCAGATTAAAACAGACAGAGGTGGGGACTTAACCCAGGATCCCTAGAATCTACGAGCGTTACGATGATCGGTGATTGAGATTCACTAGCAGCACTGCAGTATTTAGATTTGGGCTACTCAGTGGTTAGAAATTGTTAACCGTTTTATCACTTAACTTTACTCGATTTACTAATCAATTAATGTCTCTAATGCTTGAGTTGAAACACTTGTTAGATCATGAGGGAGTTATGTTTGGTACGGTTTCATTTGGATTCAGAGACTGCGAAGTACTATTGTGAGCAATATGAAAGGGAACAGCGGAGCGCGTGCCAAATAGCCTCGAACCCTACCCGTGGCGATACGCTGCGGTAGCTCTTGGAAAAAAGCTGGAGAGAGTGGTGCGCTTTCGTCTGCTCCCGCCATGCTGGCTTTCCTCTCGCGCGGCACCTGATAACGATGAGCAGTGCGGGGAGCTTTTATACGTCTGGGAATGATTACAACGCTCCCCAATCACTCTCTATTTTTACTGGTTGTGTGTGAGAAATAGAACAAATAAGTGATCCAAACGTCAATAGTTATCATTGTCGCCAACCGCACTTTTGATCACGGTGGTATCAAGTGGTATCAACATGTTATCGCCGTTAGTAGTCGGCGATGAACTATACCGCGTGAAAAATAAGCTGCCAGTGGCGGGGGTGGCGGCAGCAGACGAAAGCGCACCGCTCTCTCCACCTTCTTTCCAAGAGCTACCGCAGCGTATCGCCACGGGTAGGGTTCGAGGCTATTTGGCACGCGCTCCGCTGTTCCCTCTCATATTGCTCACGACAGTACCTACCGTTTTTATTTATTTTTTTCTGATTTCCTTATATGTTGTCACGCACGCCACCATCAGACAGCCCTTTATATAAAAAGTTGGGACATGTTTAGTTAAAAAAAATAGAAAATTACGGCAGGGTTTTGAGGATTCTCGTTTGTGACTTCTCTGAATAACGGTCGATCACAAGGTCTGGGTGCAAATTCTGGATAATTTTCCAGTGTAAGATACGTATATTCTAGCCTGAGTGCCTTTTAAACTCGGTCCTGTATTTAGAGACTTGGCAACGTCTGTACCAATTGCCCGATTTTATTTCAAGTAGAGTACCCTATGCCAGGTAAGAGTCTGTTGCTGCTGAGTACGTGCCTCGGCACGTGCTCAGCAGTGGGTTCCCATGACGATTTCACCAGTTGCATTTCACGTCAAAACTGTTGTTTTTTTTTGCAAAAGACAAGTGCCCGTTTTGAGCATGTGTCGCTGATAACGCACTCAGGTATGCGTCCAGGTAATTAGTTTCCACAACGTGGGGTATTCTGCCATGCTGGTGGCTTAACCTGCCACTGGCATTGTTTTTAGCTTGGCGCTTTTACACTATAGAAGTACTTCGCAGCGAGCAAAAAGTAGGATAACGGCGGATGTGGCGCATAGCAAAAGAATCAAGCGGGAGTCGTTCAGCGATCAGTCACAATCCGAACTTTATTATATGAAATTATGCGTTGTTTCGTCTAGACGCTTGTAGCGTAGCGATTGTGGTTCTCAAGAACCATCGAACAGCGAGACCCCGACAGCCGTCCTTCATTTCCACTTGATCTCCGAAAGGTGGCGCTGTGCCCGGCGGCCCCAGTAAGACGACCGCCAGTAGAAGGACCGCTTGAGCATCTTAGCCCGATACAGCCATTCCTTGCAGCTCTGGTCCAGTCCGCAGGAAGACGTCCTGCAAGAGTGAAGGTCCCCGTCGACTCCGAGACACCTCCTTCCTCACCTGTCTCTGACTCTTGCTTTCTCACAGGAAGAATAGAGCTAGGGTCTTGGACGTGCTGGGTTAATACGTGGCTTGCACTGACGTCACATCCGCAGTCACTGTAATGACGTTGTTGCTGAACGCGTACATTCTGCCGCGAGTATTTCGCACCGCGGATATTGTTCTTTCTCGGCAAGAACAAGTAAGGGTGGCGCCACCGCAGTACGATGACGCAACGTGCAAGGCTAGTATACGCCGTTCTTATCTTTACAAAATCACGGCCCAGCGTTTGAAGATAACTGCCCAGCGCGTGCGTATTCATCGCTTCGGAAAGCGAGCAAATCACGCGTCATACGCAGGAATGCTGGAATGGCAGCGGCTAAAGTTATGGGATCCTGGGAAAGTAGCGCCAAGCTCCCCGTATGGCCACCATTTTGGTGGACGGAATTAGCAGTTTCTCCTTGACTTGACCCCCCCCCCCCCCCCCCCCCCCCCCTTCTTGGTAGGGCGATCCGGGCTTGCTTTATGGAGACATTTCTTGCGTACCAAGATAATGTTCTCCACACACCTGCGAAACAAGAACGCGCCTTCACACCGCCAACAGATGAGGTGTCGGTGCTTAACATCATTGCGAAATAATTTTCCTTTGTTGAAATACGCAACAAAAACAAAGTCATTATAAAAAAAATTTGTGGAGATTAACATGACTAACAAGTCGATTGACTACACAGTACCAATGACGCTGGTATTGGCGGTGAACATTTCAGGACGAGGACGCTCCATAGCAGGCTCGGCGCGGCTGGTTAAGAGCCTTTTGATGCTTCAAGATTTCGAAAGGACCGAAATGCTGATTGCCGTGGCAACAAATGCCGATCAGCGAAATTGCCTTGCGAAGTTTAGCGGTTTTTATTTTAGTTTACGTTTGTGTTCCGCTAGCAGACAGGGGAGGCAATGGTGCTACTTTTCAGGGGTCCGGTGACTTTAGCTTCGGCCAAAATCCCTTTTCAACTTTTTGTGGATTGTACGCCGCAAACTGCGGGCCAAACCGTGCCGCCGGCCCTGCGGGAATGTGCTCAATGCACGCTTAAAGTGGCAGCACAAGCTGCCACTTGCATCGTAAAGGGACCATGAAATGAAATTTGGGCTGGGATAAGTGATTTTAGATTGGGATCTTAGTAATCGCATATCATCTAGTGAACCAAAGGAAAGAGGGCAGCAAGCCAAAAGGTTGCTTTCCGGTACAAAAATTTGATAATACGGGACTATCTCTTACTTTCTTTCCTTCAAAAGCTCTCCGCCTTTTCACTGTGACGTATGAGCGGTGCCTAAGCATGTCAGCCGGTCCCAGCACACGCATTAGACACGAACAGTGTGTCACTCGGATGTATGCGCTCGCCAACAACCAACCCGTCGACGAATATTTGAATTCGCGTTCGTGGCCAATAATTGCCGCGACGGCACTTATCCTCTCTTGCGAATGACAAGTTCAATGGTGTGCTTGAGAAGCCCGTTGGAAGGTAAAAGTCATTGCTTCCGGTGCCCAAGGACGTCACGGCCACGTGATTTCTCATTTCGCTTTTGAGTTAAGGATTAAAGCTAAGGAAAAAGAAGACGAAAAATCATTTCATGGCCCCTTTAACACACTTGCTTCGGATCTACGAAAAGCCTTTATCTACGGAAAGTACCGGGAAATATCTCAACTCAGAGATGCTCAGCGCGTGCTGACGGCAAGCTGGCACAGTACATTTTTTACAATGTAGCGCAAAGACAAGACAGGAACACTGTTTCGCAATGAAAAAACAGTTTGATACAGTTTCTACCACAGTATACCTTTGGGACGTGGATTCCAGACCATCAAAATTGGCCGGTCTTGGAAGACCATAGATGTTATATCGTTCTGGGCATGCCCAATGAATAGCGCTTTCAAATATGACGTTTAGTGAATATTCCCTGTTATGGACGAGGTACAGAGTTTGCCGTAATTTCGGATAGACAAGCGCTGTGCACTTTTCCCTCACTCGGTTTTATCTCCGTGATTATCCGCAGCAATGAAGCCCCCGCGAAATCTTCAAGCGAGCAGTGCAAGTGTAAAGACACTGAACGCACGCAGCACCTCCGCTGAACCTGTCAATGGGCTCGACCGGGGTTCACAGTCGTGCTAGAGCTACTGTGTATGTGCCTCCCATATACAGAGTCGTGCCGGTGGTCCTCAAGCGGTATGAACGCCTGTGGCCGGTTGAGCCTACGTGACGAAAAACTGAGGAAGAGGAGGAGCCACGAGAGCGCTCAGAGACGTCAGAACGCAGAGCTCTGGTGGGAACGATTAGGGGGTAGACGGAAAGCTAGCTACGCTTTTTCCCCACTTACACGTCGAACGCGTTCGATTGCCAAACGCCAGCGTCCAGTGTTTCGCGTTCGCGTTCAAACGCGTTCGAAGAGGGAGTAGAGACAAGGACAGCTGGCTTTACGTCTACCCATTAATCATTCCACTCGGAGCTCGGCGTTCCGACGTCCCCACGAGCCAACGTTACTAAAACACTCAGTTGGGAAACTCCCATAGAGACAGCCCTAAAAATATGGCCCCAATCTGTCTCCGAGCACCGAGCTAATGACGAACACAACGCCACCATTTCTCCCGCAGCGGCCACTCGAGAAACTGCACGTGACTTCTATTTTTGGCTTCGACAGGGGTGAACCCCCGTCTCCCCGGCGGACGCGCCGCGTTGAACTTCTGAAGTTAAAATGCACCTAGGTCGGGACGCGCTACCTGAAAGGCCCGCTGAGGCATGGTTTTATAAAAACAATATTAATTGTTCCGCAAAACCTTGCGAACTAAAGATGATAAAAAACATCACGCGCCCATCATTTGGTACTCAACTCCAATACATTTCATACAAAAAGAGTCTTTTCCGTTTGTTTTTACGCAAAAAACAGGCTTTCAAAAAGCTCGAGGTGACCATAGTACAGACAAACGAAAAAGAGTGGCGCTGTTGTCGCATTTAGCTCGGTCTCGGTGGACGCCAGCGGCCCAGGTTTCGACGGCGAGTTTCCCAACTGAGTGTTTTAGTAACGTTGCCACGAGCTCTCGTCTCCTCCTCCCGCTCAGTTTGTCGGCGCAAAGGCAGTTACCAAGTTCGATTTACCTGAACCCCCGGCACTGGTGCAGAAAAGTGTAGAGCAGTGTGCTCGTGACATGCGTATTGAAATAGGACCGGAAGTGCACAGCACAACACTTTTCTGCACCAGTGCGGGACGTGCAGGTAAATCGAACGAGCCTAATGACAACGTGAGAGCGGCCGGGAGTCTCTTTTGAACACCCGGCCTCCAGCACGCGCTCGGTGCATGTCGCCATAGCCTCCTCTATATTCACAAAGCGTGGCAGTTCGACGACGGAGCCAAAGAATGCCCGGGCGCAGATTTGGAGCGCGAGGATCTGGTACAACAGAGGAGCAAGGAGCCATTTCTTGGGGAACCTGGACGTCAGCGCACAGCTTTTGCAGCGGCGAGGACCCGAAACACACTTGTTCGCTCGAGAGAACTGTGTTTCGGCGTCTCGCCGCAGCGGGGCGCTAGTCACGTGGCTCCTCTCATCCGTTGTCTGCCGCTTCACCTTTTCCATTTTGGCGGCCGCTTCTCGTGGCGATCTGCCAGGCTTTGTCAGTATATAGGAGGCTATGATTTCACCTTGGTTTGGCTACGCACGCGCGCTCGAGGCTCACGAAACACCGAAGCGTTGTCGAAGGTAGGAAGCTCGCGCTGGTGGCGAGAAATCTGAAGCTTCTCCCCGCCGTTTTCACCTGGTCAGTGAGTATATAGATGTTCCTATACACGTATGAAGGATGCAGACTTTGTTAAGGTGCCGACTGGGGTTAGGGAACAGCGGCGGCAGCGACGTCAGCAACCAGACAACCGGCTAGCTGGTTGTCTGGTTCCCGTCGTCACTCGTAGATGGCGGTAGCTGTCCGAAGTTTTGTCGACATTTGCTTGCCCGCGGACGCGATACTGGGGAAACTAGTCCTTAACAGCTCCGCTGTAAAAAAACTTTGTCTCGAGTCTCGTTCGTACATTATAAAAGCAACACCCACCACATGGCCATGGCCGCCGTAAGGTAGAATTCAATCTCGTTGTTGCGAGTGTAGGGAACTTTGCTGCTTTGGTTGATGGCGAATTCCAGGCAGGTCTTGTACAGCTCCTGAACGTTGTCCAGGGCCGGCACGTCGATGCCGACTGCGGAGATTTTTTAAAGTCTGGTTCAGACGTCTGCAACGAGCGCGTCAGCTACGACAGCCTCCGTTGTGACCGGAGCGAACGGAACGACCGCGATCAACCGCGCACACACAGCACTGCAGCCACCGCAACAAGCGCAGCAGGTAGTCTGCAAGGCGGCCGCTTCTCCGCCGCAGTCAGCTGTTTACGCGATGTCTCTAAAAATAAGGGGGCCGCGCTGGCACTCGCTGGTGTAACAGAAAATGGACAGACAGTTTTCTATATCCTTAAAGGAGCTGTGCAACGATATTCAATTGGAATGTTTTTCTCTCTACGCGAGCTTACTGGTACACCTGGGACTCAAGGATACTCACACGCAACGCCATTGGCCAAAAAACTCCTTTGTTGCGGTGTAATTTCAAGGACAAAAGCGATCATTTTCATTCAATCTCTCCTTTGCAAAATTTGATGACGTAACTCGGGGATCGCAGTACACCCAAGTGATGATATTTGAATGCCGTTCATAGATTGGACCCGAGCATTGCGTGGGCACTCGACTTGGACTCGTGACAATTGCTAGCTCGAGAAGCATTCGGGTTGTGACCCGTGTCCAATCGCTGCAACGACGACAACAGCCGAGCCATAACAATGACTGGAACTCAGCGCGTGTCCTGCGCTTTGCCAACCCCAGCGCGTGGCTATGATCAACACTGGCGGCATATAATCGGCTCCAGATCACGTGGCCGCTTGTTCTGGCTGTGAGTTGAGAGGGTGAACGCTGTTCGTTTTTCTTCAATTTTTTTCTGGGACTTCTGGGTCCCTATCATTTCGTCGAAACTCGTTTCGTGGAATTACGTTTCGTGGACAACTTTTCGTGGACACACGTTTCATGGACACACGTTTCGTCGACAGTGTGACGTTTCATCGACAATCGTTTCGTCGACAGCACCACCGTAAAACGTTTCGTCGACAAACTTTTTTTTTTTTTTTCGGTTCCGAAAGGAATGCCGGAAACTTAAGGTACATGTAAAATAATTTAATTAAGACTTTGTTCTTGAGTGAGAGCGATGAAAAGGGCATGCTGGATCGCGAAAGGAACGGGGCAGCAGAACAAAGAGAACGAAGTGCGCAACGATACAGCCTCAACGAATACCGAACGACGCAATACATACTGAGCGCCTCAACGGATCAGAACGTTTCTCAACAATGTAAATATTGTACATAAACCCTGTTATTCCTTCTCTTAACGCTATTTAACAGTACATGCACTTGTAACAGATGAAAAAGACGATGCCTAGCGCAGCTGCTCTCCAAGGTGAGCAACTGCGCTATCCTATCGCTCTCATCCGTGTCAAATGGAAAAGCAAGAGCGCGCAGGACTTCGCGCGCGGCCTATTCGGATATTTGCAAGTTCCGATGGCCGTTTATGGAACCGAAAGTTACTGGAAGAAGAAAAGCGGTGGAGAAAAATATGCGTAGGCACAAAGCAACACTTCGATCCAAAGGTGGGTTGCGGAAAAGGGCGTAAACACTGTTTTTTTCTTCTTCATATTGGTTATTTTAAAACAAAACTACAGCTTGCAGCCTTTTATTGCAACATTACAACGCTAGTACTTCAATTGAAATTAAGCGTGTTCATTACCCTAAATTATTCAAAACGAAAAGTGATGCAGTGTTTTACTGGCTACTGCGGCTTATACGCGAAAAAACTGTTTAGTCGCACTAGTTTCATCGTCATGCATCCTTGAGGCGGTAGTACCACTAGATGAAATCTGTCGGTAAGAGCCACACGCGACATTAAATTATTATTTTATCGATTCCAGCAGACAGATACCTGGGGCAAGTTCGTAACTCTTTTCATAAAAGAGCGGCTTCCAAATCTAATGTTCTTTGGTCACATATTGGCTTATCTGCATGCAAAATTCCAGTATAGGCATAACAAATGAAGAACTATTGTGTTATTCATTATCCAGAAGCTAAACATGCTAAAGACTAAATATCGTATACGGTCTGGTAAGTATACAGTAGGTTGAATACCGGTGTTTGGAGGAGAAAACAACCGTGTTCTATCACCGTAAAAGTAAACCACGCGTAGGAAAATGCTCAGTCTCCTTTAAAGTTTATTGCTAGCGGCTAAGACCAGATGCCAATTAGCTTGAAAACCGATTTTATGCCATTTTCAGCGGTAGGAAGGCTGTGTGCACCGCAAACAGGCCTCGTTTATTCTTTCAAATTTTCGTTAAGAGCTTCAGTGTTTTGACGTGTGGACTATCTATGCTATGTTCAGTTGGCTCTTGAGTGTTCTGCCTAAAGACGCGACGCGCGGAAAGATACGCTTGCTCTGGAAATGACCCAGCCACTTTTTCAAAACAGTCGGAGTGCCGGCGGCCAGCCCGCGAAGGGTTGCATTCGATGACGTCCAGGCACCTCGATCACGCATATTGCCGAAAACGTAGCCCTCAAGAGCTGCGCATATTGTTGAATGTTTTAAAAATCTAATTTGAGAAAGGACACTGGTCGATAACAAAACTTCCCGGCTTTGACAACGCTTCCCCAAAGGTTCGGGCAAAGACACGAGCGAAACCATTCAAATCGTAAGTTCCGAAATCAGTGCAATCGGCGAGCTCCCCCCCCCCCCCCCCCCCCCAAAAAAAAAAAAAAAAAAAAAAATAAATAATAAGCAAAAAAAAATTTTGATAGTTTAAAGTGGTGAGGCAAGATGGCTGCGCACTGGTTCGCCATACTTGGCCCAGTCGGCCATCTTTCATACATACATACATACATACATCCAACACAAGGCCGCGCGAGGAGGCACAGCTGGCGGAGCTTGCAGAGCGAGCTGTCGACGAAACGTCGCAACGTCTGTCGATGAAACGAGCACCCGCTCGTTTCCACGAAACGATCTGTCGATGAAACATCGCAGTGTCGACGAAACGATTTGTCCATGAAACGTCGTTCGACGAATTGATTGCCACCGATTTGCGCAAAGTACAAAAATTGTTGCATCGCTCCTTTAAATATTATAGATGCTTTCAGGCAGCTGCGCATGGGCGCCGCCATAGCCGACCTTCAGTTTTTGTTTCCTCTTATCCCGTTCGCTTCACTTCATCAGAGCCACGTCAGGAGAGACTTTTACCACTTTAGGTGCCACTGTGTCCTTGTGCCCAGCATAGACCTTTGTGGAGTTTCGCCAACGCCCGCTTCAGTGGCTCGGCATCTCGGTAAGACAAGAGAAGGTCGGCAATGGCGGCTCAATCTGACCCGTGCTGAAAGCGTCTATACATTTTTAGTTATTTCCAGCATAGTCTAGCAGGGTTGAACGGATTAGAAAAAAAAATGCAGCCTTGAATGTAACACACGACTTTGCCAGTAGTACGGATCTCGCCACACGCTTTTTCTACGATTACAGAAGAGCATGCAATTTTAGTAGAGCTACAGCAACGCAGGTATATGATTTCGTGATTACCTAGACGTTGCGAACGTTCAGGAATGCGAACACTATTCGCTTTTCTTGGGTGATGAAAACGCGGGAAAATTCGTGTATTGGCGTCCCTCATACGCGCCTTTAAATACAGTACGCGCCAGTAATACCCTGAACTCGTCACGCCCATGAAGTAGGCAAAATAAGAAGTCCGGCGGTGTTCGAGGACAGAAATAACTAAAAAAGGACCACTTTGGTCGAGATAAACAAACACGACGGCACGAGCGTTTCTGCTGCCTTGACGGTGCCGCCACTACATCGCCGCACGAGCAGATGGATCTTCTCTTCTAGGATGTGGTGGTTCATCATCACGACGCACAACGAGAATTCACAGTCAGGGCAGAGCCGTGTATATGGACTTTGGTCAATGGGAGGAGCGGGCAAAGCCAGGGCGTGCACCAGACGCAGAACGAGGGCTTGACGTACTCTCTTGGCCAACCAAAAGCCGAAAATAATCCCCTAGCGGAGGTAGCGAGAAATAGTTCTTATAAGTGCTGTTCGAGGCGGGGTTTAGGCCGCACGTCCGGAAGCTTCCTGGCTCGAGACGACGTCCATTCCCCGAAGTGAAGAACCCAGGGGTCCAGTGGAGGGGGGAGACTTGGTAACGTAACGAACGGTTTAATTACATGGTTGTGGTTGCGATACAGTCGTCAAATCCGAGAGAACAACGGAGCAGCCTCACGCTCCGCCTTATATAGGGTCCGTTTCTCCCTCACTCCCCGCCAGGGCAGGCAGTGCGATGCAGCAACCCGCCGTCAAGTGCGATGCAGCAAAGTCCGCCGCCCAGTGCGACGTAGCCAAAGTTCTCCGCAGTTAGGCCTTGCCTCTCTCCCTTTCCCGAGCGCACCAACCACCACGCACACACACACGTCCCGCTAACGTCACGGGCGCGTTGAGACTTGTTGCCGCAGGCCCCGTCACGCAGGCGACGGTCCCGGACTCGTCGGGACTCGTTTCGCGCAGGCCCCGACAAGCGGGCGACGGTCCCGGACTCGTCTTGACTCGTTTCCGCAGCGTTGAAACTCGGAAGAAGGTCGCCGAAGGTTCCATTCTTAACAGTGCGTAAGAGTTATATGTAGTAACTCTTCATGGTTGAAAATGGGAGGCACTCACTTGATCGAATGACGTTTTAGCGAACGCCCACGTTTCATCGAATGACACTTTAGCGAATAGTCGGACGCCGCGAAGCGGCGTTTTCGGGTGGGCCAAATGAGTTCATATTTTTGTAATGAGTTGCCGCAGACTGTCGCCGCGAAGCGGCGTAAAGCGCAGCGCGACGGATGGGTTAACGCGCGCCCCCGTTATTCGCTAAAACGACCATTCGCTCAAATGTCGCCGTTCGCTAAAATGTGATTCGCTCTTGTGATATGGACCCGTTGAAAATATGGTGCACGTGATGTTTCGGTTATGATCATGCAAAAAGATGTGAGAAACGAATGTTTTACTCGAACTTTGTTTTGCTCGGACAGGATCTGACCGCTCCGACGGGAAATTTCCGGCCTCGGCGCTTGGCGTATATGGATTACGCCGATCGTTCTGCAAGTCAAGTATGCTTTTTATATCTTCTATATTCTTGTATATCTTCCACCATGATTTTGCATGAACGTGATCGGAATATCAGGTGCACCATATTTTCAGTCATCAAGAGTTACTCCGATGCACTTATTGAGTTTGTTTCTCGCGACAACCGCCAGGGTATTATCCTTGACTTCTGGCTGACCACATTCGAATTTGTGAAGACACCCTGGAAACGCCCAGCCCGCTTTCGGCCAATGACGCTCCCTCCCTTGCATCCTATACTTTTTAATGAAAAACCAAACTCTCTCTATATACGGATCTGAGTTAACGATAACGCTATACGCGGAATGATGAGCTTCCACCACGCCGAGCGACGCCATGTTTTTCAGCAGATAGCAGAAACCACAACCGGCAAGCAACGCGCGCGGCCGAGCTCTCCTCAACTTATGATTTGTTTGTCGTTGTGGTCGCACCATTCGTTCCCCAACGTAGCTAAAAAAGTTCAACACGGCTCAAGCCATTGTTTTGAGAACGAACACAAACGAAACGGCCGTATGGCGCTTCTTTGCCACGACAACTTGTCAGTCCAACTGGTTGCATTCGTTCTCAGTCGCAGCGGTCGCTCTGAACGAGTGTGTGTGAACGGGCCTTTAATTCCTTTCGGGTCAATTTAGCAATAGTCTATCGAGACAACCACAGAAGACAACGGGCTACCTCGCGGTGTGTCGAATTGATATAGCTTGTGAAGTCGTATATGTTATATAAAAAGAGAGAAAAAAAAAAGAACGGTATATGAACCAAAACACTGAGTCTGTTTAACGTATGAAGGGTACAAAGCTGATTTCGTAACCTGTCGTCAAAGTGCGAGTTGAAAGGGCCTAGTTATCTGCGATTGCATATTTGCACAGGATCATAGCGTAAAAAAGTGCGGCTGCAGATACATTGGTCATATGATAAGAATCGGTCATATGTTGAGTACGTTTTTAGGTCTGTACATCTTAGTACTATCGTTTATGCACCTACGTTTATACCGGGAGGCACTCACTTGATCGAATGATGTTTTAGCGAACGCCCACGTTTCATCGAACGACACTTTAGCGAATAGTCGGACGCCGCGAAGCGGCATTTTCGGGTGGGCCAAGTTAGTTCATATTTTTGTAATGAGTTGCCGCAGACTGTCGCCGCGAAGCGGCGTAAAGCGCAGCGCGACGGATGGGTTAACGCGCGCCCCCGTTATTCACTAAAACGACCATTCGCTCAAATGTCGCCATTCGCTAAAATGTCATTCGCTCTTGTGATATGGACCCGTTTATACCGCACCTTCTGACGACACGCCATTGGTTGCCGCTATGGTCCCATTAACGCTTACGCCAGCTAATTGGAACGAGGCGCCACTCGCGAGGGAGCCCCAGCGCACGTTAGATTATTTTGTGGCCGAAATTGACGTTTCGCTCGAAAAAGCACCGGTTGCGAAGCAACCTCTGAGAGCTGCATGCATCCTCCGCGAATATACTTTTATTTCTCGATCACATCGCGCGATGCCATACAAAACGGATTATTTGGGAGTCCGTCTGAGGCACATCTCCAGGAAATAAAAATAAAATATGAGGTTATGAAAGAATATTGATTTATAAAATTTCCGTAATTCCAAAAAAATGCTGCGAAAGAAAAAAAACAAAAAAAAAAACAACAACACCATTAACACGTATTTGTGGGGCAGTGAAACAACCCACATAAGTTTCGGAGTCTAAAGTTACTGTCCTCCACGCCGATTCTCTGGTTTTGGTAGCCTTTACTTTTTTATATCTTTAGGAAATGCACCAACAATGTAATTCGGTAGGTTGTTGACATCATACGCTAGCGCGTTTTACACGCACGCAGGCGCGCACGGGCGCACGCACGCACGCACACTCACAGACACACACACAAGCACGCAGAATCAAAGACTTTCTGTATACATACTCGTCTGACAACAACGCTATTTCGTCATGCATGTTTTTTTGTAACGCTGGACTAAAAATTTAGGCGGCGAAGATGCCGCTCAATTACGAGACTGTCCGTCGCCACTCACACTGATGAACGAGCAGTTCAGCCAGGCCACCGTAGTAGAGCGCCATGCCTACCGTGTCTTCGGCCACCTCGGCCACGTGTCGTAGGTGACTCAGCACTTCTCGACACTTGCTGTGACTGCGAGGACACGGGACAAAAATCAATACGTATATTTCGCTCGCATCTTCGTTGGTATAATAGCCGATTCACACGACAGACCGAATCGCAATTTTCGTCCGCGGACCGTGTACCACGTGACCGTTATGCCACCGATTCCTGCGATCCCTTCCTCGTCCGCGGACGCCCGGACTAATAAAGGCAAGAACCTTTTCCTTTGCGGAATTTTAGCGGGGGATTGACTTGAAAAGCGTTTTGTCTAACAAGAGTATAATGTTTTCGTTTTTCTTCTTTTCGGGCGATAAAAAAAAAAGGCCTACCGTTGTGTTTTGTGCGTCCGCGGGCTCATTTTGTCACGTGATTCTTGGTTCCACGCGTAAACGAAACTGCATAAACTTTGTTCGGCTGCCGCGACGCAGGTTCCGGTACTCCTCCGGGTTCGTGTCAAGAAGCTCCCGTCATAACTCGTCTAGCACGCCCTTCCGCGAGCCCAGAACTTCGTCGCTTCTGCGTCGAAGCCTTCTCATGCAGGACCATGCCTGTGTCACTGATATGCCTTAGGTTAGTAAAGCTATACTCCGTTCACTCTTAAGCTGAGGCTAGAAGCTCCTCCTTCAGCGCGAGCTCACGGGCTTCCGCACTACTTTGTTTTCGCGTACCTGCACGTTCACACTTGTGTTAGTAAGGGCAGAAAGCTCGCGCTGAAGGCAGAGCTTAATTTCAGCTTAAGGGTGAACGGAATATAGTGGCGCTTCGCGCGAAGCCTATCACGGTGCTCTGTCTCAATCTGTACGTAACAGCGGCGTACGATTCTTTATCGTGGTACCAAACATAGACTTCTCTCTTGGACAATGGTGCCACGGTGCGATGTTGGAGTTTCGCGGCACTGGGGCGGCGAACAGGTTCGGTCCGTCCTCGCTGGCGTCTGCTCGTCGTCTGCCCTGTGTGGATATGCTTGGGAGACGGGCGAATCGCGGACATATCGTCACGTGATCAATCCGTTCGCGGATCAGCCCGTCGTGGGAATCGGCCATATAAAGGCCTCACCGCATTTAGAGCTACGAACAACGGATTATTTTTTTTCCCTTTCCGGACGCTGCAGTGCCTAAAGGGAATATGGTTGTGAGCAAACTGTTTCTCAGTGGAAGCTCGGTCTGGAAGTCAAAAGCTGATCTTACATTTTTTGTGGCAAAGAGTAACAGGTATCTGGTTTCTGGTCATTAGGCGTAGAGCATATACATCAAGAATTACTAGAAAATCGACAGTTCATGGCTGTTCTTGGTGTGGACGTGTTGCTGAAATACGGTGAGGCTTTGGTGGAATTGTGGGCTCAGTCACACACCACCCCTCATACACCAATATAATATCCCGTATCCCTCTTCGTACATACTTCTTGCTGTAAAGTAGTGTCTGCGCCAGGTAAGGCAAGATCTTGAGCAGCATCGAAGTGTAGTGAACGTTGAGGGCGATGCGGAAGGCCTCGTAGCCTGCGCAAGACAGACTGCATGTATCATTTTCAGAAATCATTGTTACGGTAGTTTTGGGTATGAGAATTGTGGGCCTTCCTACATGTGGCCTCTAAAGAGGCTACTTGCAGGAAGGCCCGCATCGAAAGAGCGTTCTCGAGATGGAAGCACATATCGCCGTCAATGGCTTTCAGACAGGCGATTCAAAATATTATGAAGCTTTAAAAAAAAATTCGCCGACGCACTTAAAAAAAATTGCTTCTTTTTTTTTTTTTGAAGGGTTCTGTTTTTTTTTATTGTCATGACGGTTCTTTTACTGGCAACTCCAGTGTACTGATTTGATATGTGCCATTACATTTTTTTGTAGATTAATGGGGAAAAATAACAATATTTTAAAAGAGCTGGGGCAACATTGTGAAGACACTGAACCTATCACAGTTTTTAGTACAAACAATCTAAAAACTACAGCTTTTACGGAAAGAAGTAATGCATCTTGAGACATATTTGTACTGTGCCAATTCAGCGGAACTCATTTAATTCCCCAAAATGTTTCAAATCCGATGACGTTTCTCCACAAGTACCACGCACATAGTTTTCTTTCCTATGCTACTTGGACAAACATCTTTGGTAGCTTACCATCAAGGCCGTGATATGTACAAATGTCTGGAAACTTCATCTCAAATACCATAATGCAGGTAATGCTTTTGAAAATAAATTTCTTTTTCGACACAAGCAGTCGCATAATTTAAATAAGCGCACTAATACGATCTGGCTGGTATCTTTTATTGTCGTAACTACAAATATCTTAGAACTTTATCCAATCTGAGATGGACGTGCTGGCGCTCACCGACATCAACAGCTGAGGTGATCTCGGTACGCAGGAAGCGCACTTCGACGATCTTGATGAGCGTGTTGAGCACGGCCACCAGATCGCTGACTCGTGGATGCTTTTCCACCTCGAGTGAGTGAATGCAACTGCGTTGAATGCAGAGAAGAAAGTAGTTTAAGGAAAACGATTTTAGATGCTTACTCGCTCTCTCATCTCACTCTTTGATTGCCGTGTCTTCCAGCTTTCTTTGCTTCTTGTAGGCGATATGCACGTAGTGGCTGCTCTCGATCACCAGGGCAATCGCAGGCATCTTCTGCGAAAAAAAAAAAAAAGAAAAAGACAGGTAGGTGAGACAGTGTTTGGGAAAACATTGCCACGAATGAAACTACACCTTCAGAATTTCAAATTGCGACTCGCACGGAGCACCAATAATTGCTCTTTTTATGGGGAAGGTCGCTAAATCCATTTTGCCAACGGCTGCGTATTACTGCGAAATAAAGAGCCGATCGCTCTCTTCTCGCTGAACCGCTGCCTCAACTGCTTCACCAGCGTAGTTGTAGTGTAAGCATCTGTCTTCGATTTTAAAGGGGCGTTAATTGCGTGAGAAGCGAAAAAACTATGAAATTGTTTCAGATCAGACGTACAATTTCTAACTACACAGTTTAATCGATCCGCCAAAAACACCGCGAGTTTGTAAATGTTCTCAGATGGAAAACTGCCTTTGACGCTTAACCTAACCTAACCTAACCAAAGTTTATTACCAGTTGATTGAAGTGCTAACTTTTTTGCACGTTACGGCTGATTTCTGAACTGCTGTTGAGTGATGAGGGCCGCAGCGTAAAAGAAACGTAGCGCTTCACTCTACAGCACACATGATGAACGTAAGTGAGCTTTCTATTTTTACTTTATGACAACCTTTTGTTGTATTTCAGAAGTAGTGAAGTACGCGTGCAGCTTCGATGAACGCTCGAGCAAGCGCGCGTTGATTCGACCCGTCTTGATTGCCACACAAGGTAAGGAAGGCAAGCACCATATCACGGAGCGGATGGGCAGTTGAGTGGCTTAACAACGAGATGGCGCCAGGGGTCGCACGCACCTCGAACGGTCGATTTATTTGAGATTCAGATCAGCGTGGTGGCGGACTTTAGTGGGGACTAACCTGAAATGCGAGTCGGATAGACTGAACTGAAGATAAACAACATACATAGGCAATAAAGTTGCGGTTGATGGTCACTGTGCTTGCCCAGTTAGTTTATCTATAAAGCGCTGTTTGTCCATCGTGTGGTACCCTTGTTCTCAATAGACAAGACAACAGTTATCGGTTGATTCAGCGCATGTGTTTATTTAAATTCGTGCCTTCATCTGTATTTGTTTCTACGACTAGATAACACGCTAAAGCGTGAATATGCCTTGGAAAATGGCGGCCGTTCATGTAAGCAGGAAGTTTGTTGTGTCCCACTTGGTTCTCTCTGGGAAACGTCAAACGCCGATATTTTACCCTTAGAAGTCTCTTAGCGGATTCTGCAACGGGCTGCTTTCGGAACACTAACCACTGTCGTTCCTTTAATGAACCTAACTAATGAGAATGGCAATAACTACCATACTCCACCGGCAATAAGAGGCCGAAAGGCATCTACCTCTTTTTCTCACTGTCACCGAATGTATTGTTGGATTAGGATACTGAGCGCCCCTTTTCATTGGTTCAAAAAAAAGAAGCTCGATGATTCGTACATTGTCATGCCGTTTGCAGTCGATGACTTCCGAGCCACTGTGGTGCAGTCTGCACTCGATGCGTTCCGAAAGCGTTGGCTCCGGCCTCCACGACCATTGCCTACCTTGTACAACGGTGCATTGCGGCAAGTGACCAGCTCCCAGAAGTGGCTGGACACGTCCAAGGCCACCCGAGGATCACGCCGATTCAGGAACACCCGGGCGGCGGTGCACAGGCAGAATTCCTCTTCTTCGATCTCGTCCACGCGGCAGCTGCAAAGAGAGCTTCTCCGTCAGCGTCGGCTAGCACCTTCTGTAAAACCGCACTGGCAGAAGTTCCTGCATGCACACTAACACTATAGTCTGACAGTTTAGGAGAAGCATGGCGTGGCGAGCCCCGAGGTTCTTGTTAACATCATCATCATCATCATCATCATCATCATCATCGTCACCACCACCAACACCACCACCACCTCCACCATCATCATCATCATGTCTTTATTTGTGTCATTAAACAACCCATGGTCTGTAATGTGCCACAGCTTATCACTCTTCAGCTAATGGGATTGCGGTATTCGCCGATAATTACTTCGAAGAATAGATCACGAAGCAAAGAAGCGTGAGGACAATAAGCGACGCGTTCCGTTTCTTAACTTGACTATAGACATTTTCGAAGCCGCCATCTTGAATTGCGGAACTTCCGGTACGCGGCAGAACATCGTTTGGCTCTCGTCACACCACTGGAAGTAGCTCACGCGTTAATCGCGACTGTCTGTCATTCTTCTTGTGCTTTCTCTATAGTCGGTTTCTGGTTAAGGGCAGAGCCATATATTTAGGGTGACCATATTCCTCAAAGTAGAAAACGGGACATCCCAGCCCACGGGGGGTAGGGGGGGGGGGGGGGGGGGTCGTACTAAAGTTTGAGCTTGGGAAAACATTTAATGAAATTCTACATTCGTGCAATGTCCACATGATTCTACATCCGTATTATATCCAGTAACTAAAAATAAAAGAAAATATATTTCTACACACACGCCTTCGCGAGAGAAAAAGTGTTTGTGGGCACGAACAGTTCTAAATTTTACTCATTAGGTAAATATTTTAAAGCACCTACGGTTATTTTTGTAAAGTATACTTGTAATGAATAGGCATAGTTTCGGTTTGCTTCTACTTGCTTGGTGCCAATTTCGAAACTATATATCGACTCCTGCCAAAACGGGGCATGATTCTATATTGGGGTAAAAAGACGGGACGGCAGAAGTGGACCTCAAAAACGGGGCTGCCCGGCCAAAACGGGACGTGTGGTCACCCTACGTACATTTTGATAGTCTGGCCAGTGGGTGTGGCGACGAAGGCGCTGGAGAGGATAGCGCCGGAGGAGCGAGAGAGAGAGACGGAAGCAAAGAGGAGACGACCGCCATTTTGACGCAACGCTGTCGGCGCCGAGCCCTGTCGAGGCTTTGCGTCGTCTGCTACGGGCTGATTTCTTTTTCGCCTGAATGATAGTTTTGCTTTCAAACGTGGAGAAACTTCATTCGTTAACTTTTTAGGTCACCGAGGAATAACACTATATCATATTCTTGCCAAGGCCTGCCAAATAAAGAGAGAGAACCGAAATTCGGATGTCTACCCCATGCATTCCGCTATGAATCCCGCCGGGCGAATGAATGTAAATGGCGGCCCTCCCCGCTCACCTGGGAGCAGCCGGGAGTTCACGCGCATGCGCTCACGCCTCTCGCTCTGCGCCGCTGGCTGATTGGCTCACTCGGGAGCCCCCCTCCCGAGTTAGGCGGTGAGATCATAGACTGGCCAAACTCTCTCCATATACAGCTATGGTTAAGGAAAAAGGGGAAGCTGCTCGCAACTCTTTCCACTTTACCAGAGCGAACGCTGCAGAAGAGGCGACCTCCTGCCAAGCGTTCGTTCTGCTAAAGTGAAAAGAGAAGGGAGTATTTATTATTTTACTTGTTCCAAATTGTAAGGCCTTGTTTCTTTTTTCATCTCGCATATTGGGCTTGCCTACTGCGCAACTGGGGACGACGGTAAACGAAAAAAAAAGGCATATAATCCGCGATCCACTCAGAACACCAATCATTGACCTTCGTTTTATAAGCTCAGCCAATGAGATGAGTGATCACCGCGACACACATTAAGAACGCATATTTTCCGACAAAGCAATTGGGAGAGCCAATCGCTGAGATCTGCGGAGGCAGCTCGGCGAACGACGATACGTATATATATATAGTGAACAGAGGTTTACACCTCAAAAACAGTGTGCGCGGTGGCAGTGAGCATCACCATGCTCACTGCAGCCACAGCGCAGGTTATTGTTTGACGTCTAAACATATCAGCGGGAGCAATCGTTGAGCCCTCTCCACATATTCCAGCAATCGGCTATACCGAGTGCTTGGACTGAAAATAGACGCTTGAGATTTTTCAGAGTGCAGAGTGCATGCAGTAGTGCAGTTTTAGTGTCAAAACGGCGTCCAGTCCTCTTAGCTGCCGCTGATCTTTCTTTGGAACATCATTAAAGGAAGAACCATGGAATGCTGCGCTGGGTGGATCGTCGTGCTGTATACACTCGGGGACTACTGAGAGTGCATGCCAGAAGTGTTCTTCTTTTCTGACATACCACTGGACGACGCGCACGGCGTAATTTGAGGCGTTCTTGCGGTAGTCCTTGGGGATGTTGCGGCCCAACCACTGGAAGGCCAGCTTGATCTCCTGTAGCGAAGCTTCGATGTTTCCATAGAACATCTGAATCTGCAGTAAGACGGGCACTTCGATGGTGTCAAGAGCGAGTGCGCTTGAACAAAGCGATTCAATTAAGATCTAACTCATGAAATAGCTTAAACTCTTCATAATGCCAAGACATCCAAGAAACCTGGAGCTTCTACTTTCCCCCAAAGCACTCGGGAAAGCCATTCTCTGCAATCAACACATGGGTGTGGCGAACGGCTGGGCTGCAACATTAAATACCCTTCTTAATAAAAATAGTATCCTCTAGCTGAAGCTGAGCATGGCGTAAGCACGTGAAACGTCATGATCATTGTCGCAGCGCAGACTCTTTCCTTAGGCCTGAATGTATTTTCAGCCTCGTTATTATCGAGTTGTAGATTGCAGCGACCCCTAGTGTTTTGGGAGGAAGTAGCCGCACTGGAATATTTATAGTCTACATTGAAAAGGGGAGAAGGATTTTAGGTGTGATGTACTTGGTTAGAGGCAGCGCAACCATTGGACCACAAACGCTATTACAATAAATAATGAAACAAATGTTAATGTCGTGAAACATTATTTTTTTCGTTTTTACTTTGTGCGGTACACTCACATTAGCCCTCATGCGACTGATGGCGATGCGTTTGAGTTTCAAGTAGCGCTCGTCGACGTTCTCCCACGTGGAAGCTTTGAACACCGACTCGCTGCTTTCCAGGTATTCTTCTGCCTGGAACACGAGAGATGGGAAATACAACGTGTAGGGAGGGAACTCTCACGCCTTGAAGTACGCACTTGCTTAATGTCGTCCACTTCGAGGGAGCAGTGGGCAGCAGCGAGGAACGATTCCAGCGCCCTGCCCCTCATGCCGGACTGGAAGTAATGGTTTCCGATTTGCCCGAACGCGTTCGCCTTCATCTTTTGGCACTTGCAGACTCGCAAGTCGGCTTTGTCCGGGGGTGATTGCCTGAAGCGAAAATAAATAATTGAGTATGTGATGCTGCTGATTTAAACAGGCACATGTTTTTTTACTGTCGCTTCCTGGCTCTGACTTGAGCAGTAATCTGTACGCGCTTCACGAGTTCTAACACTTCGCATTCTCTCTAGCTGCTGCCAAAAAAAAAAACAAAAAAAAAACAACATGTAATACAATAGCATTTGATATCCTTTGCACCTCTTCAAACGTCTGTCAAGCTCGATGCTTACTATCTGCGCCAGCGCGCCCCCGTTTTCGCGTTCATTCTTCCTAAACGAATTGATGTATAATTATACGCCAATTCAAGTTTTCCCGCTAAATTTAGCGGGGAAACGATTTCCCTAAACGTGGTGTGGAAATTCAATGTATGTTTAACTGCACGCCAATTTCGCACTTCCCACTAAATTTAGCGAGGGAATTGAGTTGATGCGTTATTATACAGCAATTAGAGTTTTCCCGTTAGATTTAGCTACGAACGGATGCATAAGACCTCTCGGTTCGGTGGCCCTATTAACCCACACCGTATCAACCTGCGCGTCCGGCTCCTGGATAAAAAAAAAAAAAAAAGAAAAAAAAGAAATGCGGTTTAAGGTTTTGCATTGAGTGAAGGGCGACGAGTGAAAGGGACGGAGTTTGAATACAAGCGGAGCCGCTATAGATGCTTTAAACCAGCTGTGCACGGGCGCCGCCATTACCAACCTTCAGTTTTTGTTTCCTCTTATTCCGTTTACTTCACTTCATGATTACCATAGCAGGCCAGGTTATAGCCATTTTAGATCCTACTGCGTCCTTCTCCTCAGCATTGGCCTTTGTGGAGGCTCGTCAACGCCCACTTCACTGGCTCGGTATCTCGGTGAGACAAAAGAACGTGGGCAATGGCGGCTTTAATCGGGCGCGTGTTTAAAGCGTCTATAAAGTGACTCTAGGCTCAGGCAGAAAGGAGGGGTAAATTACTTGGGATCGGTGTCGGAGTTGACCATAATCTTTTACTTTTCGCTCGGTCGACACGTAATCAACGGCAACCATTCCGGCCTCAAGGGGAGAGGGAAGTCACCTCAAGGTGTTAGAGGAGAATGAACGAAGCCGGTTGGGCGTCGTGCTGCCGCCGGGGTGTGGCGCTCTCCGCCGAGTGGGTGAGCCATAAACTTTTAAATCGTCAGTCTTGTACAGGAGGAGGACGCGTATGCCGACAAAGGCTGGTTTCAAACATTTGCGTTTGGGCGTGAGCGACTGCGCTGCAACAGCTTGCACTCAACTCACGATGAGGAACCACACTGGTATTCACTGGCGCCATCCACGCCGTTGCACTGGAGCACTCCTGACCTGCGCATAACTAGGCCGAAGGCTTTTGGCGGTATTTTTGAGATAGAATATAAACTTATTTTCTACGATAAATTGTCCTATTTTACATTGTCGGAATTATTTCAAGCCTGTGGTGTAAGAATTATGCGGATGTACGCAGATCTGAAGTCGTCCGGGACTAACACCGGATAAACGGCGCCAGTGTATTCTCTCATCGCAAGCAGCGACAAGCGGTTGCAAAGCAGTGGATCGCACTCACTAAAATCTGAAAGTACGAAAGACCACTGGTATAACGAGACAGGAGACGCGCCTTTCTGTCGTGTTCTATTACTTGTCCTTGTCGATTTTAGATTTTCGCGATGTGTAACCAACTAGCCCATCAGTTAACTGCGCAAATGTGAAAACCAGCATTGACTTGAGGCCGCTTCAAGATTTCGTGACGTGGGCCGTTACAACCATAAAGAAAAAAAGACGAGGCTAAGACAGAAGTGCCCCTTTGGCCGTTACATGAGGAACTCGTCGGTGGCCGTAGAGTACACTTCCACGCTCAGGTACTCCTTGCAGAAGCGGCACTGAAGAGCGTGCTCTTCGAGGCAGGTGGCGATGTCCTGGTGGATTTCGCTCTTGCTGTCGTAGGTCAGCGTTGCGTATATGGTCTTGTGCACGGCCGCCGAGTGGAAACGCATCAGCGAACCAATCTGGCCGCACTGCGGGCACTCGGGTGAGTCTGGCACTTTGCCCTCCAGCAGGTAGACGAAACTCGAGACCGTGTTGCTAGCCGCGCAGGTGATGAAGTGCTGCTCTATCAGCTTTTTGAGGGCGACGTTGATCTGGAGTAGGGCGAGGGAACGAGACGAGAGATAGAGGCACCAAAAATGAGGGTGTACTGCTGCACATTCCCTGAAGCTCCTGCGCGCATGCTGCTCCGCAATGGACTCGGAAAACGGAATAACTTGTCTATCATCAGATTTGGCAAATGAGAAGGGCGGTTGGTATCATGTGCTACTGGTCTAGTCTAAATAAGAAATTAAATGAACGGCTGTTTTGTGGGGTTGTACTTCGATAAAAAGTTTTTAAACGATTAATTTGTGACATTTATTTTCATAAAAAAACGAGACTGGGACTTATAAAGCGTCTCGGGTTTATGATTATGAAGTTAGCTCTTCAACTTGCCTGCGTTTCTTCCCTTTCATTAATATGTATTTTGTTCACTCTAAATAAACGCAATACAATCTCAGAGCTGAGATTGTATTACACAAAACCAATGGTGCGAACAAATCGCGGATTACAAATCTTAGCACATTGGATGCCTACATGCTTAAACAGCCATATGGAGACTGAAGAAATTATAATAAAGGCTGTATCTGTTTATTGTCTAATAAAAAGCGTATTTATTGTCGGGCCCCATTTATTGACCTGTGGCTATTATTGCAAACCTGCTTTTTGTAGTGTTTGTTTTGCACAAATATTGTGTAAAGATCTATACTTCTACGATCATTGAAGCGTGACTGTATGCATTGTTATCCAGCTTTTTCTTAAAATTTTTATCACAACATTGCTGGCGTCGATATGTCGGCCAATGTTTTGTAAATGTGGTTAGCTGTAATTGGGATTAGCCTTTATGGTCCTGCCCCCCTCCCCTCCTTTTCTCCCTCGCTTTGATGAACGCTGTGTACGACTGTTGGAGTGTCGTCAGGCAACTTTAGTGTGCCTTTCAGAGCGCAGCTCTTAGGCGCCCGTTTCCGGCTTGAGCGGCGACGCCGTCGGCGTAGTTACGCGGTGCATTAGGGGAAATGTCTTATAATGCACCGCGCGGGGAGGAGAGGAGGGGGAGGAGGGGAGATAGATGAAGGGGGAGGGGAGGAGGAAGAGGGCAGGAGGAGAGGTTAGGGGTATACCCTTCCCTATGTACCCTTCCCTCCTTCTTCTCAAGAGCTGCGCTCCAATTCGGCATTACAGGGAGTTCTTAACGTCTTTCATTTTTTCTATCAGTGGAGACCAAAAGTATGAATAAAGTCTTATTGTAGCAATGCACAGTATAATCTTAGACATGATTCTTATAGAATACATTGGCCAAGCACAAACTACTAAACTCACCAGTTGGCACATGTAATGCCTGATTTCTTAAGCAAAGATCGAGCCAGTCTAGAAATTATTGAGGACGGTGGCCCAACGCACAGCCTTAAAAAAGAAACAGCATACAACTATACCTTCTATGGTACCCCGTGCACGGAATAAACACTTTACCATATTGTTTATATTGTCTGCTAGTGTTCAAAAGTTGTATTCCCGTGCTTCAATTATTCTACTGCGTTCTACAGCCCCTTAATTTATTAAATATTGAATAACTTTCTGTGAAACCTTTGTGGAAAATACGGTGTTTTATTCATGATATGTATCGCTGGGCTCTTGTATTTTTTGTACTTAATGTTGAGTTCTGTTTGTATATGCGGAGTGCAAGTTGGTCAGCTTTATTAGCAGGGGTTGTGGTGATGTCAGAACGCCGAGCTCCGATTTGCTCTGATTGTAGGATAGTGGGTAGACATCAAAGCAAGCTGTCTTGAGGTTTACCCAGTATCCTTTAATCATAACCAATCAAATAACGGCGTTCGGACGTCACCGCACCACCTGCGCAAGAAGCAAACGAACCTGGGCTCCGCATAACTTTTTTTCTTTCTTTTGCCTTTGTTGTTTGCTGCGCCGTATAAATGGTGACAGTGCCACGCCTTGCAGAGCACATCGCCCTTTTCGTCTTGTTACCTCAAACCTTGTGCCCGAATAAATCAAATCGAACCGGAAGGAACACCACTTTTGATTTTCAAGGTAATGGCGGGGCAGTATACGCACGGAAGTTTCAAAAGAGTTCCCACTGCAGTGGCAGTTTATCTACGTATATCACCTCAGCCGTCGACAGCGCAGAGCTGAGCAGTTTCAGTAGAGACACCTCAAAGACTTTTCCGCATACGGAGGCCTTTTTCAGGAGTACGATCTCCTGCTCGTTCAGCATCTCCATTCGCACCACCGTGAGTGCTGCGCAAGACACGTTGAGAACTCATGCGAACTTTAAGCCCTTGAAAAAAAGCTTACCCTGAAGTGAATCTGGCACTTGAACGTCGTCCATGAGACCCTCTCCGACCACGTCGCAGATGGGCTGTGTCATTAAAGTGCGTAAAAGGTGAAATAAAGAAGTGTTTTCGATTACGTTATTTTAAGTCTATGGCAATCTATGTGGTTCACGAAGTTTAAAACCACCGATAATTCGCGTGTATATGTCACATACATATGTCGTGATCTATATTTTATGTGCTTTCCTTGTTCTGCGCCGAGAAAAGGAAAGGCACTAAAGCAGTTACACGACGCCCAGTGGCCTTCCGTCCATCAAGGTTTAAGACCAATTACTGAACACATGAAAATGAGCGAGAAGATTAGAGTCGAAGTTGGACACTAATATTTGACTTCCCGAACCGCAACGGGAGTGTTCCGGTTGTGGATGCTGTCGTGCTGTTGTGTGTGGTTGGTTGTGTGTGCGGGGTGGGGTCCTCACTATGCCATGGAATTAATGATGGTATGTTGACTTTGCGTACCTAAAGTGCTTCGAGAGATTGCTTTGTGTTATTTTACAGACGGTTTGTTGTCCTCATCCGTGCCTACAAGTACGCTCCCTTTGCTGGGAGCAGTGTTTTCGTGTATGTGTGTTCGTATCGCTCGTGCTATACAAACCAGTGCTGTGCACCTCTATATCGCCGAACCTACAGATTAGTAACGAAGCTGCACCTGTTTAAGGCTTCCTTAAACGAAAGGTGGTACAAGGTATCTTACAGGTGAAGAAAATTCCCCAACGTTTCAAAGATTAACCTCCTGAACCCCGGTGTCAGGTCTTAGCCGGCTTACGTCTGCTACTGATGGAGGGCGACAATATTTATGTTTTTCAAAAATTTTCCAGAAATTGCATTTAACTTTTGATCCTGGTAACGTATTGGGTTGAAATTACCGCCTCCCGCCTTCGCGTCTGGAGGCATTTATTCTTTTGAAGATTTCATTGTACTGCGACGCACACTTAGTTGGTGCGCTGTGAAAAACTTCTCAGCTCTGTTTTTTTGATGTTCTCAGACAGACCCGTTAAGGGCTTTGAGTACCAGAGAAAACCCGCAGGCGAAACCCTTTTGCACTTACGTATCCCTCTCCAGGACGTTGCTCGCGCAACTCGTGGTCATCTTCACGCGCGAGCGTGAACTCCCGTTTGAGGCGCAACTCCGAGGTAGTGTTTGAGTTCACCGTCTGGATGAGGTTTTTCTGCTTGAGTACCTGGAGGATCTCCACCATCGCTGCCGGATTTCCCTTGGTGTACTCCTTGAGCAACCTGGCCATTTTCGAGAGCCATCAGCGGGACGCCCGTGCGAAAGAGTGGCTCAACTCACCTAAGAATCTGGTTGTGGATGCCTTTCACGCTGAGCCTCTGGAAGCAGAAGTCTGGAAGGAACTCCTTACTCAGGGGCTGAATGTCCACAACCGTCACCGACTTGGCCATGATTTTTTGAATATGAATAGGGGGCAGCACTCGTTCAGAGTGCGGGATGCTCGTCATGGCCACTACGCACGGATGCTGGCTGGTGAGCTGGCCGAACTTATCCAGCAGCTCCCAGGACAAGGTGTCCATGTAGTTGGCGTCATCCACGGCAAGTATACATGGTGCCTTGGAGCATAACTGCAACACCGTGTTTATAAACAGGACCTATATTAACAATAGCTCTTTCAACCTGGGTTAAGACGCACCAAACATTTGTTCGCAGTCTGCTCAATACACATGGTAAAAACGTTCTTTTTTTGTGCTCTGGAGCGTTGCCTTTTGCCTGCAAGGTATACGGGGAGTTTCACCGAACATCGGCCAAACCTTCCGCGTAAAAACTTGCTCAGATATAAAATCGCCACTATTGATCGCTGAACAAACAAAATGTAAGATTCTTACGTTTTTAATAAATTTTCATAGTTACTTTTTCATTGGTGCAAACAAGCACATAGTTTCAATTGAAAGCTTGATGAACATAATTGAAAATGACTAAATCAGTCATTTTGGAGAGAAGTTGAAATAAGTCCTGGATCCCACAAATGTATCCAACTTTGGCGCGCTCGCGTTGTGTTTTCCGTTTCTTATCGTCAGTATCTTCGCTCCGCCAGCCTTGGGCCTGTAGCTCAAGCTAAAGGTTTTGTGCACCACCACACTTGCCACACAGTGGAAATATTTCTAAAATTGACTGAGTTAGTGGTTTTCGATTACACTACGCAAGTTTCTAATTGAAACGTATAGTGTATTTTTTCTAACAAAAAATTAGATTTTAAAAACCAACTAAGAACTTAATTATCGGAAACGCTATGTACTTCACTAAACTGGCCCCCCGGCGGCAACCAATACGGTAGCAATTGTTTTTCCTTGCGATGCGTAGTTACCACGGGAAAAGTTTAGGCGATGTTCTGTGACTCATCCGGTAGATGCTAGTGAAAGTGCGCTCTAGGGAACACTGCCGGCTTCGCAACAAAACTACTTTGTAGCTGTATTGTCCGCCTATGCTGTAATTAATAAAACATCTGCATTGTCGAGAAAGGCACAGGCGCGACCGAGCGACTTTGGAAAGCGCCCGTGTATTGGCCTACACTACGCGGAGTGAAACGGAAGGATAGGAGGAGGCGTGGTGCGGCGAGAGAAAGGGACCACGTGTGCGACAAAGCTCCGCCCCTGCAGCTGCTCCTTTGTCCGGAGCAGAGGACGTCTTGCACTTGGGTTTCTTGTTCGTTGGAACGTATCTGGTAGTTGTTAGTCGCCAAAAACAACGTACCCTTCCATGTTTTTCCTCTCCGTTTTCCCAGAGGCAAAGTCATCGCTCGTGAAGGACCGGTGGATTTCCGAAAGCCGTATAAAAGGTAAGACGACCATAGCTACGACTGCAGACGACGCCGGCGTTCGGCTTTATGTGTTTGAACGCTAAGGCCTGCCCGAAGAGCAGAGTACGCTCTCGCTCACGCTGATTGGAGGGAGACAGTAGATAGAGAGAAAAGCAGCTAGCCTCCGCGTCGCCCTGCTATCCTTCCAATCAGACCTCAATGCTTTGACTTTACCACACGCTCTTATCTCCTCCTCTCCCTCAGTTTCTCCCCGTACACATATAGTCGGGGAGAAGTTATGATGTTCCTTCTAGATCTCAAGTTTTCTGCCTTTGATAGCACTTTGCCGCACGTGCAGCCAAAGACCAGAGGAAGGCAAAGATGGTGTGCTGGAGGAGAAGCTTCTGTTGAATTCTTGGTCTGTCACCGACTATGTGGAGCGCAAGTTCGTCTGCTTCTTTTGTAGGAATTGTGGTGACGCCAGAACGCCGAGCTATGATTGGCTTTGACTGAAGGATAGCTGGTAGACCTCAAAGCAAGCTGCCTTGAGGTTGTGGTATTCTCGCTCACCGCTTGTCCGGAGAAAGGGGCCAAGTCATGATGGAGACATGTTTATTCTTCGAGCCCGGTGTTCGGTGGCTTGCGCCGCCATGGCTCAACTGTCCTGTCGCCCCGTCACGCGCCTCGCGCCCCGTGCTTTGGCCCCGCGCTCGTTTCTCCCGCGCCGTCCGCATCGTCGCCGAAGTTCTCAGTGTCCAAAATCCCCACATCTTCCCCCCCTTCTGGATTGCTCATGTATCACAAAATCAGCAGGCAGTTCATTACTACAGACGTTTGCACCAACCCTACTTCGCGGGGCAGAACACCTCACAAATATGATTAACTTCATGTAGCCAATAACCGGGTCCACATCTTAAAATTAAGAAAAAGGGAGAATAACAAAGTATCGGTCAGCTTTCCTGCCGGTCTCTCCCCAAACGAGCATCGTCAATAGCGCCGCTCAACTTTAAAAAGTCTTCCAGCTCACACCCCGACTAGCTCGCGTGAAGAGAAAGAGCGTATGTCAAAGCAGTCACTTTCGCTTTCCAATAAACAATGATATAAAATTAAGGGGAAAAGAGAGAATAACAAACGGTTTGCCTGTTTTCTGACCAGTCTCCCTCCCCCCAACCGAGCATCATCACTAGCGCGGCTTAACTTAAAAAGTCTTCCAGCTTGCACTACGACTAGATCGGGGGAAAAGGGAGAACTAACGCAAACGCCAGCACTGTCGCTTTAAAATAAATTAAAATCCAGCGATAAGCCCTGCATTTTATAGCCTTTCCAACCTCCTTGACTGATGTACCAAAAGCAATACAGGAAGAGCAAAGCGTGAGAACCGGACAGCTTAATCTCAAAGCGGATAATTGACGCCTCCCGTGATCGTCTCAATGTCTTCCTACTGGTTCTTGCCTCTCTCGAAGGCTCTCCTTGACGTCTCTGATCTATTCAGTGTTGTTGTTAAGAGTGCTCCACCGAGATGGCGAAGCACAGCAGAAATTGAACGTCCGCCGGGGCATAATTTTGGAGATCGCGGCGCTCGCAGTCAGGGGTCCCTCGCGTAGCCGCCCGTGGACAGCTCGAAGATATTCGCTGCTCCTCTTGCGAAGTCTGGGAGGGCGTTCGACGGGCTGTACAACGGCTGCTGCTCGCAGCAGCCCGAGTACCTGGAGTCGGCCTTTCCAGCAGGGTCCCCCAGGACTTGCCTTGGCCTGGCAGCGGCATCCAAGCAGGCGTCCATCGCGGATGATGTTAATCTCGTCCATCGTGGTTTTCTTTTACCCGGCCCCAGACAAGCAGCGAGTCCCACGTTGGTGCGCCATTTGTGGTATTCTCGCTCACCGCTTGTCCGGAGGAAGGGGCCAAGTCATGATGGAGACATGTTTATTCTTCGAGCCCGGTGTTCGGTGGCTTGCGCCGCCATGGCTCAACTGTCCTGTCGCCCCGTCACGCGCCTCGCGCCCCGTGCTTTGGCCCCGCGCTCGTTTCTCCCGCGCCGTCCGCATCGTCGCCGAAGTTCTCAGTGTCCAAAATCCCCACAAGGTCTAGCCACTATTCTCCAATCAGAGCCAATAAGAGCTCGGCGTCGTGACGTCACCACAACCCCTGCAAAAGAAGCAGACGAACTTGCTTTCCGCATAGACATTTGGCAGATGAAGTATGCATAGCTTGAATTGACGTCTAATCAGCTGCTATTGTGATGGTCTTGCTGCTCAGTGAGTACAAGTGGAAGTGAGAACAAATAGGATTCATCACCCGCTTGGTGCGATGGCCCTTGTGCGATCCCCTATGGTCCCACTTGGGTTATTCAAACACGACCTATCATCACCGGCCAACCTGAAGCACGTGCGGATTGACACGAATGTGCTCTTGTCAGGCCTGGGATCTCTCGGTGCTTATGAACTCGATTGAACGGGCCGTACAATGATATTCGGTTGAAAAGTTTCTCACCTCACACCTTACTGGCATTAGTGGGACCGGTATACGCTCGCATGAGACGCCACTAATCGAGATGCTTCTTGGTTGCGTCTGATCTCAAGGATAAAAACAAACTACATCTTTCAGTCTCTCCTTCCCAAACGTAATGACGTAGTCGTGAGTTTCATTGTTGACGTAGGGCACCGTTGGTGACGACATTCAAGTACAGCCCCTACACGATCACTGCGTGAACACTCAGCTGGGCCGGTGACATAATGCATGTCTCGATGCGTATTCGGACGGTGGCTTGAGCCCAAAGGCTGCAATGACAGGAATAGCCGAACTCTTACAATGTGTGGAAGTCAACGCGTGCCATATGCTTTGCCGAACCTCTACCAGTTGCTATGATGAACATTTGTGGTATATAATCGGGACCAGAGAGCCTGTCCGCTTGTTCTGACTCTGGGCTGAAAAGTTGACCGCTGCTTGTTTTTCTCCAAGTTTTTTTGCGGCTCTAATTGCGTAACGAAAAAAAATAAGCACGTGTTCTGTAGGTTATGATTGTCAAGGACTAGCCCTGGGCGGCATTTAAGAAACGCAGAAAATCGTTGTACCGCTGCAAGACAGGTGATTGAAAGCCTGTCAAAGATACCTTCGCATACATGCTGCACGTGCTTCAGGTTGGTAGGTGCACGTCCGGACTAGATTCGCGCACTTCTTTTTTATACGGCTTTTTCCGTTCCAGGAAAAAGCATGCGCATTGTTCTACTACGGGGGGAAGGGGGGCTCCGACCCAACTATTCTCACTGTTCCACTCTGCTGCTCAACGTGCCCTGTTTCGCTTGGCTCATTGGTTTGCTGTTCTGTCCCGAATCGAAGTCGACATTGTAGGAGACTTATGGCGAGCATTTCCACCAGCTGCCCAGCACTGCATCGTTAAGAGCACCGCGTGAAGAAGAAAATACCGAAGAAGTGCCTTGTTGTTAACATTAGATCTCCACCTACGACTGTGTACAGCAGGCAGACACTTTGGACATAGCAGCTCTAACGAATATATTTAGAAAACGTTGTTCTTACACGAGTGAAAGGGAGGTCGAAGCAGCTCGCGTAGTATTGTATTCCAGCGTGCCTGCGTCTTCGACAGCTCTACTCGCGATACTTAAGAGATCGAGAGCATGAAGCACTTACTCGCTCCATAATCATAGTCAAATGGTCTTTGGCTTGTGTCACGCTTTTGACTTGCCACGGAACGTCTACAAGGCTTCCAGCACTGGCCAACTTGAGTGTCGGAGCATTCTGCAATATAGATCATGGTCGTAGAGGTAGTTTACACGGATGAACTTGACCTTTACCTTCAGGCGAATGATTCCCTTGTTGATGACCAAGGGCGTTGACGAGTCCGGTCCCAGCATATCATCTAGAATTGTGTTGTTTTCAGAGTTTGGCTTGAGTCCATGACTATCAAGCAGGCGGCTCAACAAAAAGCAAACGGAACTGAAGGGGTGCCGCATGGTACGAACCCCGGCGTGGCATGAGGCAGATCTAGTGGAAAACAGAAACATGTATTGAACTCAGTGGGTAGGAGACAACAAAATAAATAATACTTGTAGCCCTTTTTTTCAGCGCTCTTCATGGTCCAGAAGAGCAGGTGACTTTTCCCGCAGCCCGTCTCCCCGCGTAGAAGCAGCATGTGCTTGGCGAGTCGGCGTTTGACGACAAAGTCCACGAGGAAGGAGTCGATCACGTCTTTCTCATGGACCATGCCCATCACCGTGCCTGGATAGACTGCGACCTCGTCCATCACTTCTCTGCAAAAAACGACATGCCGCGGTGTCCATTCCACGTTGCGGCCGAATAGCACCGAAGGTGCACTCACTCTTCGGTTGATAGTTGGACCTGAAACACGCGCCCCATGTGTTCGATGCCCTTGAGCTTGCGCCACTCCAGCTCCTTGAAATTGTTCGGTCCCAAGACCAGCACCGACCGTTGGTAGGTGTCCTCGTCGCAGACCACGCGGACGTCTGAGTACTTGCTCATGAGTCGAGCGGCGAGGTTGACTTTTCGACCAATCACTGCGCATCATCATCTCTGGCCTTTGTATTTATTTAGCTTCGTTAGGTAACCTCAAGTCGTCAAAAGCATTCAGAGAGAAAGTTTTAAAGCGAATGTCCAAGATATCAAGAATAAATAATAAATCTGGTATACCAATATTCGGTTGCACAGATCGTTGATGCATTTCATAAAAATCTAGTTACAGCAATAAACGTGTAAAATATCAGTGAGTGTGCAGGCGAACTGGTGATAATCGAAATATGACAGCTGAAACTGTAGTGCGTAATTATTTAAAGTTTCTATATTTTTTGCACCACTATAACAATGTTAGGTTATGATTTAGGATAAAAAATAGTTAATTCTTTACAATCAAGTTACATCTCATTTATGCGAGTCGAAGCTGGTAGGAATAACTTGACCAAGAGCCTTCTGGATTTCTGAGAGAGGCCGAAAAGTCACCTGAGACTGTCGTGCGAAAACACGAAAAGTTTCTAAAACATTTTGCACCACAGTCTTAATGTTACATTAGGATATATTATAAAATAGTGAATTATTTTACAATTTAGATTCATGTCATATATCCGAGTCGAAGCTAGTAGGAATAACTTGAAGAGGAACCTTCTGCAGCTCTCAGAATGTCCCATGGCCAGTCTGAGGCATCTAAGAAGGCTTTCTTCATGATGCTACAAATATTGGGGACAATGCGGTGCTAACACCTGAGGTGACGAAACACAAAAGTAACCTGTGTGATAGGCCTATTGTGGATCGCATCTTTGCTGTAATACACTATGCGAAATGAGATTGTGAATGAGAGACCCCACGTGACATTGTCAGTTTTGTTTCTTACCCGTGTACTCCTGTCGTAATGGATGGCCAATGATACCGCAGAAGGTCATACCAGAAGTGATTCCAGCCGTCACTTTTCTGCAAGTAAAACGCCGAAATTCGAGGCATACCCGGCAATAAGAATACGACTCACATGTTCATGGCGCTGACTTCGTGCACTAGTTTGTTGGAGCACATGAGAGCGTTGCACGTCTCATTCTTTCCCTTGTAGCCCGGAAGGCCGAACACGGCAAGAAAAGAGCAGCCCTTAGGAAACCAAACAAATTGTTGGCTGTTTAATCTTTCGACGTATTCGCGAGAAAATTTAACATTTCTATTACTCCGATGTGTCACAAACCTTGTCGAAGGTGATCACCTTGTTGAGAACACCTGTGTAAGGACAAGTACAAATAATTACCGTTCGGACACATGCTTGTCTACAGGTTGGAGTTTCTAATTTATAAAATGTATTTTAAAATAATAATAACACTAAACAGTTTGTGGAACTTTTGGGGAAATTCGTTTAGATAAAAAGCTTCAAGATTATTTTTTCGCGTTTTTTTCAGCTGATTTTTTTTTAAAACTTGGTTTTAAATCGACTATGAACAGATACGCACGGTGGACTTTCAAAGATAATCAAATTGTAACGGTTAATCAAAAGGTTTCAGCACCCCAACGACCAAATTACAAAAAAAAAGTCCAGAACAGCATTTAGGAGAAATTCCAGCTTAATATATGAAATCTTACATAAAGACGTATTTTTGGATAGCACCTGTAACAAATGTTAAACTGATGATCATTGAAGCCCATAATTTTCTTCAAACGCGTGCTCTTTATTTCTTTAAAAATTATTTTCGCTATTTCCACTATTTACATCAAACCCTCAAATACTTTTTTAATAGTGGCGTTAAAACTAGAGGTATTGCTGGACGTCCCTGTTTAGCCTTGACACAGAAAAGCCTTCCTGGGTGACCTGACTTTACCATTTGTGCTCACTTTAACAACCTCGTATATGCATACTGCCCCGTGATAAACTCGCAACACAAATCATTTTCTCTCAGACGCTTTCAATCCAGAGACAAGTAATAATTTAATGAATTTACCTAATTAGAGGTATCGCGCCCAAAACGCCGTATACAGTCGAGGGGCAAAAATTGCGCTCAATCCCTTTGCCACTCTTATTACATGGTCACTAGAGCAATATGTTTTCGGCCCTTTTCATCGGTAGAACTGATTAAACGCAGACCTATCATTGCCTTTGCGAGGATATTGCGACGCAGTAGGCAAACAGGCGTATTCTTACCGTCCGTTTCCTTTAGAGCGGAGCTCACGATTCGGTAGAGCGCAGAAAGCGTGGCCAGGTCGATGTCGATGAAGTCGGGCATGCAGACGAAGACGATGGTCACGTGCCTCATTTCGGACAAGAAGATGAGTTCTTCTTGGGTCTTAATCTGCAATGCCGTTCGAAGCTGTGGTTCACGACATATCCTATAAGTCTTGAGCCGCGGGTCAGTCAATGCTCCGCGTGGCTGTTCAACACCACCTAAAAGATTAAGCCTGCCCCCCCCCCCCCCCTTAAAAGGTTATTATTAATAAACTCACGCAGCACCCCCTGGCTAGCATCAGCGTCGCCACCTCCGCATCTTGCAGCGTCTTACTACGCGCGCATCGACGCCAAACGCACGCGTCCGCCGCTTTACAGCGTACTTGCTTCGAGGTTCAGCGTGTTTGCTGCTTGGGGTAAGTCGGGGAACCACTAGCAATGATGTCATGCGCAGGCCTTGACTTCTAGGTGGTATATGTTGGTTCGGTCAAGCAGACGGCGGCCTCGTACCTCGTGACTCTGCACTTCCCGAGCATGTAACTCATCGCTGCAGAATATCTTCTGCAGCGATGAGTAGGGTTTCTCGTTGAATACTTATTTGTGATGGGTAAAATAAAATTTAGGCGCCTAAAACCAAGACCACCTCGGATAGTCAAAGCCTGTGGGCTAGTATCTTGACGTCATCACCGTCTGGTGGAGCGAAGACATGGATTGGATGCGAGTGCTACGTCAGCGTTCGGCAGAATCTCGTGTCCAATCAACGCGTCGAAGAACGATCGGCATCGGGCTCGGGTCCAATTGCTGAGTTGGCGCCATCCGAGTGTGGTGATGTTTCAGAGAGAAAGAGGAGGACGTTTGCGGGCCTCGAATGATCCAGTTGGATTTGGTGAAACCCCACGAGTTTCTTGGCATCTGTTGTTTGTAGAAACGTTTATACACTGTTCACCCTTGAGCTGAAAATGCGGAGGTAGCTACGGTGTTCGCGGTCGTTGTTATACATCCATCTTTCTCCCCGTGATTTCATTCCCGAACGTAGACACGCGCAGAAAGCGGGGTCGGGTGCTGAAAGAGAGGCTGTTGATTGGGCCGGCGAGCGTGTGTCTCCCACCGCACTGCCAGCTTAGAGGTGAAAGGAGTGTAGATTGGCTCCACACTCCAAACAACGGTCTTTGAGTTCATTTTCCCTCAGAACGCGAAACAGCGAATTACGGCAAACAGTGGAAGAATCCCATCGATTGACGAAGAAAAGAATTCGATTGTACCGAAAAAAAAGTGAAACATGCGGGGTGACAAAGAACGTGAAGCTGACTGTCTCATTGCCCCCGTCCACATATCAGTTAGCATATCTAATAAACCCTTTCCGGAATTCAGTGCCGTCTGGTGACTCAAATGGAAGTTTAACTTTTGCCGTACTAATGGCGGCAATGAAACTGTGGTCTGCAGTATTTTATGGGGCACCGTGAAATTCGCAAGTCAACGGTAGACGAGAATGTGCCCTTCACTGTACAGTTCTTTTTTAATTCCTTTCAGTGTCGATGGCGGAAAAGATGCAACCAGTCATAACGAAGCGCCAACCCACATAGATGCCTTGATAGAGTTCTACACATGAAGGGGCTTTGAAGCCGAGTGTGTTCTACTAACATATTGACTGAGACCGAGTTAAAAATGAATGCTTACGCAGCTCTTGCATCCAATTCCTGCTTCACGTCGCGCTAACGTCTAGAATGTGTAGGCCTCGAATCATTTCCTTAGGAGCATCTTCAGCTTCTTTTATCAGTGAACAGAAGACGTCATTAGCATAGCAGATATGCCACTTTTCAGACGATGATAACAGTGATCAAAGTGACCAGACTGAATTCCGGAAAGGGTCTATTGTATTTTAGCTTCTTTATTAGATGGTATTCTTTTATTGTTCACCGGGATTGACTGTCTCCCGCGGGAACATGAACTCACAGACGCTTTCTTAGAGTGTATACGGGATGGACGACTCACATTCACCACAACCGGCGAGATGAACCTCTTGAGCAGAGGCGCATCCTCGAAGTTGAGGGCGTAGAGCGCCGGCCGCACACCGGAGAAACCTGCGAAAGAGAGTCGCCCGTATACAGACAGTCACTGAAAGAGATGGTCGCGGCTCTGACCTGTAAACGATACCCTCTCTTCTTCCGATACGGAGGGATCGAAGCCAAGAACCTGCAAAGATCGATCTACGATCAGTACACACGGGCCTCTGATTGCATACTGAACAGCAAAGCACGCGCAAGAGAAATTCTTGATCTTCTTTAGGTCATTTCAGTCACCGTATCCGGTATATTCTGGTGCGCAGACGTATTGTCACACCGGTAAAGATTGCGTAACCGGTGAGGCGCGAAACCATTCGCTTTTTTATTTGGCTACAATGATTAAAGAGAGACCGCGGTAATTGGTGTTAGGAGTGCATGGTGGGAAAGTTTGCACGCACAAGCATCTAATATTGTACTTGCAAACAGTCTCAGTGGCTTGTAAGGAACGTTATGCGCAGTTACCACTGTATACATTTGCCCATCAAAAACTTGAAAGGCGTTTACAAATCCCTGCAATGCGAATTTAGAGCGCAGCTCTTGAGGACGAGGAGAGGAGGGTATACCCGTCCTCCTTCTCCATACCCTCCCCTCCTTCTTTCCTCCTTCCCTGCTCCTCTCTCCTCCCCTTTTCTCACAGTTTCCCCGCTAAATTTAGCCGGAAAATTGAGGACACGTGACCTCAATGCTAACTCAGCTTCCAACACCAATTCAGATTGGTGTTGAGGTCACGTGATGTCAGTTTTCCCACTAAATCTAGTGGAGAAACTGAATTTGTTCATGCGTGACGTGACACAAAGTCAAGTGAAATCGTTTTCCCCGCTAAATTTAACAGGGAAACTGAATTGCTGTTGAGGTCTCGTGGCGTCAATTTTCCCGCAAAATCTAGCGGAGAAACTGAATTTGTTCATGGGTGACGTGGCAGAAAGTGCTTTGACATCATTTTCCCCGCTAAATTTAGCGGGAAAATTGACGTCACGTTACCTCAACACCAATTCAATTTCACGCTAAATTTAGCGGGGCGGTTACGCCATCGGCGAAGCCGCGAAATGCGGAAACAGGCGCCTAAGAGCTGCGCTCCAAAAAGTGTGACATCGAGAAACACGCCGCCGAAGCAGTGATGTAACGAAACCAGCACAAGAGCCGACGATAGCCCACACCACTTCGTCTGTCCACATGTGCGGCTTCCCATCTGGGCACGGCCATTCACTCCTCCATTCCATGGTCGCTGACAGCCTAAGAAACGCCGATGGGTGACTTATTCTTTTGACGCTTCTCGTTTCGTGAATTGTTCTTCGATGCTGTTATCGGCCAATGGCTCTACATCATCAGCTGCTGAGCGATGATGATGTGCCAGCAACTCTCCATGCCTGCGTTTATGAAGTCGCCAGGAACATAGAGTAAGCTACCGCACTGTCATTATCTCCAAAGCAATTTTTTCCTTACGTCTGCATCGACGGTTTTAGTTGCTCGGCACCGCGGTGAGACAAGAGGGACTTTATTGTCGACTCGAGTCGGGTGCGTGCTACAATCGCGAATACACTCTGAGAAGTCTGTAGCGTCTACTGCTGGCTCCGAAAAAAAAAAACAAGAAAAAAAAAAAACAATCGCGGCAGTCAATGAAAGGAGATCGGCGGATGACTAGACTGAAAATGTGTTTCGATATAAATTGAATGCCCTGTGGCTCTGAGCGTTGTGAAAGGCCATGTCTTAGCTCACTGTTTTTAGATCAAAACGTATTTTCAGTATCATTATTCGCTGAGCTTCCTCCGTGGATGGCAGAAATTGCCTCCCACAGGTGCTTTGCGGAAAAGTAGACTGAAGATGTCTTAAAGTACAGTGCGTGGAATACGCCTTTCGCTGAATTTCCCAAGCAGAAAGAGGCAGCGACAACATTCCGCACGGCGGACCTTGACCATGTCCTCGGGAAGAGTGCCGAAGATGTAGCGGTTCTGGATGCCCTTGCTCTCCAGGTAGCCCCATGCCTCGGTGGTGAGGATGATGTCGCCGGCGGTGCAGAGCATCTCGGCGTTGCGTACGTACTCCACCACCGAGCCGCTCGCCGAGTAGTGGACCGAGTCGAACTCGTCGTTGAAGAAGTGGTACTCCAGGTAGCCCGTTGCAATGCCTGCAACGGTAATCATTGCGCATTAACGAGCAGATAACTGGTACTCTCCAACGAGGTACAGGGGGTTTCTGAGCGCTTTTCGGGCGTGAAAACATTTGGATTAATAGACTAAGGAACGCTGTGTATTAACACTCTTTGTGAGGGTATCTTCAGGGTGGTGCATTTATCATGCTCAACTTTGACGAGTGTGAGTTTCGGAAAAAAATATAAAAAAGCCTTTTCTTTTTTCTTACGCACCGGGAGGAAAACTGCAAAAACCATCTGGTTTACGCTGGTACTCACTAGAAGTATATACTACACACGCTCGTATCTGCTTGTTCTTTATACTACTCTAACATATTTGAGTAGCAACGTCTACCAGACGTTGTTACCGTTTTCCGCCCTTCGCATTAAGAACAGAAAACTAGAAACAGGATTTTTTTATGCTTAAATATTTCCTAAGTTCTACGTTTATGAAATTTTAGTATATTAAATGAAAAGTGAAAAAAAAAAAAAACTTTTCATTGCATTCGGTTCATTAGCTCATTTATAGACAGGTATTTTTTTTTTTCTTATTTTTTTTTTAAGCTTCAATAGTGCTCGGGAACACCCTGCCGCTTCGGCGATTTCGAGCGAGATCTTTTCATGGAACGTCGCGACAGGCGTTTCAAGGAAGCGGACTCGCGGTTGCGCCTCCCTGGGGAAGCTGGCATGCTGACATTTGTACTTAAAATGCAAAAAATTAGTCAAAGTTATTGCCAGTCTGGATGATGTCCAAATTATGTCGTCACCAACACACTAAAGTCTCGGTCATTGCTCGTACGTGATACAAAAAAAAAAGACAAAAAAAAAACATGTTCGCAGTAGACATGACGATAAAATTATTGGCGGGCACGCCTCCCGCATATCTAAGCATGTTTTCTTCATGCGTTTGTATGCGTGGAACATGCCTACATAAAGCTTTTGTATTTTCAACGTGACGGGAGTGTCATACAGAGAAGACACACGCTTCAGACAGTCTCTGCAGACTGCCTTTTGTTTAATGTATTTGTGGCCGGAGCTTAAGGTTGCACTCCTTTACAGAAGAGAAAAGATTAAGCGGGCCGAAGGGGGGGACGCTGAGAACGCAGAAGGTCCTGTAGGACGATGCATTCATGCGCGGCAGACTGATTGCCCTGTGCGAAACCTGCTTCCCCTTCGAATTCTGTTTTTATCTCACATACGGCATAATTAGGATTGGTCCTTGTATCACATTTCTAATTTTCCTTCTGAAAATCTCAAGACTGTGAGGCTATAGTTGCGCTCTGGGATTTATCGTCCCCTTTCCCGTTTACACAATTCTCATATCGGCAGGGGAGTTTAAGTTGAGAAACTCCAGTCTTTGTTGTCGCTGGAAAATGCAAATATTATTAAAGAGCTTATTAAAAAAAAAAAAGAACTGTTTCACGCCAGTACTTGAAGTTAAGCGTGTGTCTGAAGTACACTGCGCAAAATGCTTAGCGCGAACAGAACTTCGGCGCTTTTTTTTATTTTACTTTGAAAGGGTACTGGTGGGAAGTGAAATGTACAATCTATAGGTTAGTTCCCCAACTGAGCACTTTCCACCCCTGTAGTAGTATTGATGGCAGTCCTTCAATACTGAGAGGAAGCAGAGAAATCCGGCAATGGCTCGTTTGCGCTAACAGTGTAGAGTCGCGCTGTGTACGTACACTCGAGATGGTATGTCGGGAAGCTCAGCACCGTAAGCTGGATCGGAAAAGAGTTCTTTAGTTCTCTGTTGTACGTTTTACTAACTACGTTCGGTTAAAGAAACAGGTAACAGTTGTTCCGGAATCCTAATAAAAGTTTACACATAATAAATTCCTCGTTAAAATGAGATGATCAATATTAATCCTACCGTCGAAAAGGAACAAGTGTGTTAGTGTGTCTAAGAAAGATACAGTTAATATCATTTAGGACATAAAAATGCGACTTCATCAAATATCCTAATATATCAAATAAGAAAAAAAAAACGAGAGAAGTGTTAACTGGGAATTTCGTTGCAGGAAATTTGTTTGCCGGACAAATCAAACAGTCAAAATGTAAATCTTTGCTTAATTCCTTAATAAATGTTTCCTCCATTTCTCTGACGCTCTAAATGCGGAGCGCAAGTTTGTCTGCTTCTTTTGCATTGGGCTGCGGTGACGTCAGAACGCCGAACTTTGATTGGCTCTGATTGAAGGATAGTGGGTAGACCTCAAGGCAGCTTGCTTTGAGGTGCTCCCCCTAATCTTCAATCAAAGCCAACCAGACTCGGCGTTCTGACGTCATCACAATTCCTCCGAAAGAAGCAGACGAACTTGCTTTCCGAATAGTAGGACATGGCGGGTCTTGAGCAAATTATTTTCGCTCCTCAACTAATGGGGTTGCAGTAATAGCCGATAAGAACGACGAAGAACGAATCACGAAGCAAGAAACATTACAAATATCTCGGCGGACATTACCAACATGTTGGATGACATAGAGAGAAGCCTTTTAATGGAAGAGACGCAGATAACCCCGGATCGCGAGAAATGACAGTTAACTGATATGGTTTCAAGGAAAGAGATATGGCTGATCGTTTGCAGACATGTAATGGCCTCCAGACTGAGACACTGTCCATGCATCCAGACTTTGTGGCCGTGGTAGACCATTGTAATTTCCAGGGAACATAAAAATGCGCGAGTCGAGGAATCTTTATTCGTAATAGGAAGCTTACCAATCTTGACTCGCAGGGTAACCTCGATGCAGGTTGGCCATTCGCCGTAGTTCTTCTGGATGTTCAGGCTGCAGTCCACCACCGTTTGGATTGTCTCGGCCAGGGTGCTCTCGTCCTCGACTTTCCAGATGCAGAAGATGGCGTCACCTGTGCATCGTGTGCACACTGTCCCGTAAAATCCGAAAGCTCTCCTCTTTTTTCCCGTACGCCTTACCAGCAAACTTGAAGATGTCTCCTCCAGCTGTGAATATATCTGCAGAGAACGGGACTTAGTTAAGTGGACACTAAGAATAATTTCTGTCGTTTTCGATCATTTACGTATCTTAAAGATTTGAGAAGAAACACCAAAAAAAGAAAAAAAACAACAACTCTTATATCATTTTGAATGCTTTTTTTAGAGTACAAAAACAGAAAAAAAGTTATTTGCGTATTGTTCTTCTCTTCACAAGTGATTTTATAACAACCGCACAATCGAGTGATTGCGGCAGTATAATATTATCAAGCCGCAGAAATCGCGAGCCGGCATGGGCTTCCACAGCGGCTAAGGTGTGGCGAAATCACATCTCATTGCTACAGGCTTCTGAATGTTTTTTTTTATGGCTAGAATAAACTTTTTTCAAAAGCCAGTTTACCGATTTTGTGCAGAGCCAAACCAGCTGCTCTAATAGCGAAATTAGAAAGCTTCTATATATACTACTTGGGCTGTATTCATAGTAGCGAATATCTACGAGAGCACGTCAACTTTGATTTACGAAGTCGAGGGTGCTTAAAGTTAGGTAATCTTGCTTACCTATCATCATTATTAGTTCGGAAATATTGGAAATGTTCTAAGCTTAGGGAACACCCAAGTGTTATCAAGAACTAAAACTAAAAAAACTCGCAATGCTAAAAAAAAAAAAAACTTAAATCCTTTTGCCGTTTTTAAGGCCGGTTTACATATACAGCGCCGCGCCAAATCGGCACAGGAAAAGGGAGCACACGCAGCTCTCACTTGCACGTGACTTATAGCCGACGGACTGTTCCACAGAGGTGAGCGGAGATAGAGCGCTATGCATCGCTGCTAAACCGACAGCTCGGCACAGCATCAGCGCCGCATCGGCGTCTTTTTCAGCTTCGATTCGGCGCTGTTCTGTATGTGTGAACAGCCCCTTATCATGCCAGAGAGTGTGTTAACTTTGATTGGGGGGAGGGGGGGGGGGGTCGTCACTAGAGGTATGCTATACATATTGGGCCTGTTTTATTAATTTAAAACTCTGGTGCTTTATTTAATTTAAAACTCTGGTAATTTAAAACTCTGGTTATTAATTTAAAACTCTGTAATGCATAAATGTATACGAGCAGCCAATTCTTCAATATACTAGCAGTTCTGAGAAGATATGAACAAATATTCATCACCGACTGGAAAACTGACAATTTACTTTGGTATTTTCTTTATTAGAAATTTTCCACTCCTGCTCGAAGTAAAAAAAAAAAAAATTGCTCACGCTGGATGATGTGACCGAAGAAGTGGTTGAGGGTCCTGGTCAGGGCTTCGATTCCCAGCGCTCCAGTCATGGAGTAAGTCTCCGTGAGTGCCGTGAACCCTGCGGGGCACCACAAAAATGGCTTCACTAGTTTTTTTCCCCAATTTAAGTGTCCACAAAACATCACAGTCCGTCGTGTAAAAACGCACGGCTCGCATTGACAAGAAAAGCCTCCCTAGTGTTTAACAGTGACGAGCAATAAATTGACGACAAGAGGACACCTCTTTTAGTCCACATTTTAGATGAACGTAGGTAGGCATCTACGCAGGATTTACTGTACTCCAATGAATGCATTAGCATGACTGTAGTAGGCTTTCAACATCTTAAGCTCTAGTTACACTAACATACTAACTGCAGTTACGCGCAACCACAGTTACCGCACTTTACTCTTTTCGGAGAACGTTTTGTGGCTATGCAGTCAGAGCTATGGGCACACGTGCGCTTGTGAATCAAGAGCACCCATCAAAGCTGTGCACGCGCACTCTTCGCTTATATTAAAAAAAAGATTATCGGAAGGTATAGTGAGCTAACTGTGGTAAAACGTAACTACACTTAAGGGTGACTTAATTGCGGTTAAGGAGGTCCCTGTAACTAGGGTTTTTACTTGCAAGAAGAAATACATCTGGTACCAAGGAAAACTAATCCAGAATGAACTTTCTGGGCCAGCCTGCTAGAGCAAAATCTCAGCTGAGACTGCGTGAAAGAAGGCACTGCAAAGAATGGGGCACGTGAACGTCTTGAGACGCGGTACGATTACAAGTGCCGCCAACCATGGTTGTGGAAACGCGCAAGACACGTTCCACGAGCGAGTGCTCCACTGCCATTCGCTTCCAAGGGCCATTCATTTCAGTGCTGCGCCTCCATTTACTTACAAGGGCCGCTCCAGACACGGGCCTCGTGGGCTGGTGCATTTGACGCTACTCGCAAAACAAACGCAAACATATCGAGGCGATTTACCCTCAATAACTGACAAGTGCCACCATTTATCGTGGAAACGCTCAAGGTACGTGCCTCGCGCCACTTTTAGGAAGAACATGGCGTCTGAAATCTAGTTCAGTGCTGCGCTGTGCCACCATGATCTTCCCAACGGCTGCACGTTGCACGTGCCTCTTTCATCGACGCACCTTGCGCTACTTTTAAAAAATGAAGGGGCTAAGGTTTTACTCCTCGTCAGCTCCTGCGCTGGATTTTGCAGTGCTTTCTTTCACCGTCTTTCTAGCAAGCCGGACCTGTTTCCGTCGGGGTTATGATAGTGTGCAGTCCCGAAGACTGGAATATCAAGTAGCGCGAGCTTGTGTTGCAGGCAGGACTGCATACAAGGTCGGTTGGAAGTGCTCACGCAGCTATGGTATTAGAAACTGATGTGCGTAATAACATTAAATCCACATTAGTGGTATACGACATTTGTCGCTCTCTTGATCTGCTCATCTGCCGGAAATACGATAGCTGTCAAAATCTAGAGCTCATTCAGATGACTGCTCTAACAAATGGACCAGTGCGCCAGCTTCAAAAATTCCCGGTTCAAGAGGTTTTTGGTGTGAGAATGGCATTGATCGATTGATCGAGCTTGAGCACTGCCTTAGAAAAAACGACCTCATAAAAGGAATGCTCGCTGCATGCAAGCACGTTACCCTACCAATCTCTCTCTGAGTGGCAGCGCGAAAAATTGGTAGGTTGATCTACTGGAGTCTGAAGTCACTTTTTGCGTGTAGGATATGCGTGTTCCAATTCATTTGGGTGCTATACACACCGGTCACATTCTTCCTTTTGAAATGTGCATCGTCACACCAGCAGCGCCCTAAAGAATGTCTCTTCTTGTAAGAATCAAGAAGTACCGAACCGTTGATCCTGGAACTTTAGTAAGCAATCCAGCGTAGGCTTACCTGAAATGTCCGCGAAGAGGACAACGGTCATGGCCACCTTCGCGAAGGGCAGTTTAGAGAATGCTTTCTCGTGGACCACCTCGAGGCAAATGTCCGGCAGGAAGGTGCCGTTGAGCAGGGTGCCGGACACCGTTTCGGACACCACGGGCGTCAAGTTGAGCAGGCACCGGCTAGCCGTCTTGTGGTCACATGCCACCACCGGTTCTGAGAAGTGAACGAATGAACAAACGTAATAACACTCACAGCTACGCCGGGCGTGGCATATGTTCGCACTTCGACGTTCTCGTCGGCCGCAATTTCATTGGCTGTAGAGCGTTATTGAGATGCTCATGGCTGCTGAGTCATGAGCATTCGCGGAATTGCGGACAACGGTGGAAACGTATATATACTGTATATTTGGTAAAGTGGTGCTAAAAACTCAACGCCGAGTGTGGCTTGTCTGCATGCTTGTTTTGACACATTTTATATTTTTCTCTAGTGTGAACCGCCTGTGAATGAACCGCTCCGAGAGCGATTGCTACAGAGCATTCCCTTTCGAGTGGTTTGCTCAGAATTTGCAAGGTGGCGACCACATTTTAGAAAGTGCGAGAGTGCTGTATTGCGCAGTTCCAGCGCAAAGGTTACCTCCTTCCTTTTTTTCGTCTTTCCGGAGGTTCTTCATCCATTCTGCACGAAAAGATGAACAAAAATAAATAAGTAAACTTGGTACGATTACAAATCGACGCATTCTGCACGAAAACATGAATAAAAAATAAATTAGTAAACTTGGTACAATTACAAATCGACGAATAATACCTGAAGGCAACTCTTTCTCAAAGGACTTTTCTCAAAGTGTTCGTATTCAAGACCTGTTTTTGTTTGTTTTCTTGCTCATATTTTGTTTTCGCCAAGCTGTTTTAAAATGAATTATTACGGCAGTAAGGGACAGCGACGGCGAAAGGAAGAAGGAAAATAAAAGCTATAGCTATTCAAGAATCGAGGATGTTTTCTGTCTGATAGGTTATTTGTGGGAAAACGAATATTTACTATAATAATAATAAAAAAATCGAAGAATCGCTCAAATAATTGCTCTGTGTACAAACGAGCAGCAAAAAAAAATTGCCTCATTTGCTAAATGCAAATGAGGCAATTTTGGGAGATGGCAATTGGGAGATGGCGACACAACGTCTAACCATCGCTAACTCGGTCGTGGCGAACGCGTGCGCCGTTCATCATGACGAGTTTGTTGGTCTCACATTTTACAGGAAAAGAGCTATACGCCTTCAACGTTTACCACATCAAATGCCCTACCTAGACGCACAGCGGTGAGAGTTTCAGCATTTTATGTGGGGGCAAACAAGCTTTCTGAGTACTTTTACAGCGCTAAGATTCATTATTTTGCTCTGTGGCACTCCAAGTACAACCGAAGCTACGACGCGATGGATTCAATTAAGCATCGTTAAACGTGCATCGTCACATTACACGTGCTGTCTTTGTTCTTCTGCTATAAGCTGCCAAACCAATAACGCATAAGATTGTAGCGTCGGTTGTGGCAGTGCTTGAAGTGAAACTGACGGCCAAATTCATAAACGCTACTCGATTCGAAACTTCACTTAAACTCCAAGTGAAGACGGTCTTTATCTTCTTAATTCAAACAAGACTCAAAACTTAACTCCCCCCCCCCCCCCCCCCCCCCCCCCCCCCCGAGCCAAGAAATACCCAACAATTTCCTCCGAGATCCATGGTGTAGCGTTGGAGGTATATAACCCGAAATGTTCCTCGAGAATCGAGTTGATTTTTGGATGTCGTGGTGGCCAACACATTGTTCATCAAGTTCGAGGATTTTCTCCTCAGAACAGACGAACTCCTGCATCAGGGCGAAGACGATAGCCTTCCAGTGTGACGGCGTCGTGTCAGGAACGGGCTAAACGCGATGGGAGCTGTCCGACGACTGCGAATTTCTTTCACGCCACTGCTTTACGAAAGTGACGATGACCAGCCACCTGAAGTCCCTATAGCTGGACGACTGCGAGAACGGTCGTGGTATGCCGGTGCCTCCGATGCTCCAGCTGTTGATTGAGCTGCAGTTCTTCAGCGCTGGGACATTCAGGGGCACGATAACCGGCAACCTGGTAAACATGTCGCGATCCACAGTGTGTCCGGTCGTTTGTCAATCATACGCTTAAAATGCAGGCCGTTCATCCTTGTTGGTGTCAGACTGGTGGCAGTTGATAAGACCACTTTGCTCGACTGACTCCTTCTTAGCACAGTTGGGAGAGCGCTCCACTGGAAACGGAGAGGTCCCTGGTTCGATGCCTGAACCAGGCGGATTTTTTTTTTTTGTTGCGCTCCAGTCACCTAGCTGTGTTTGGAGATTTGTGTTTGTCTTTTGTCCCCTTTGTTCCCGTTCTCCAGGGATTCTTATTTTCATTCTTGTCCAGGTCGTTTGTATATTTGCATCAATTGCATTATAACAAAAAAAAAAAAACAAAAAAAACAGGCAGTAGCATTTGACCGCTTGACTTCCTCGGCAACAATGACGGCTATACCAGTCGTGCATTAATGCACGCAATTTAAATCAAGGCTATGAGGGCTTCATTCGAGTTATGATCGCGAGACACCGGAACATCTGTGCATCGGGCATGACAATCAATTAAAGGAGTAGATTTGCGGGCAACACACGAGGCATGGATGACCTAGCGACGAGCGGTCCTATGTTAAACAAAAAAAGTAGTCTAACATTACTGTGTGCTAGACTTATCTTTTTCAAGCGGTGTTGTCTGAATGAAGCAATAAAAACGTTCTGAACAGTTTAATGAATTCATCTCCAGCAGGTAGTCTACAAGTGTGAATACAGGTTCCGAGCCCACACGTGCTAAGCGCCGAAATTAAATTTACAGCTCCCGCAGAAATAATCATGTTAAGTATGTGTGTTCCACAGACACTGGCACATTCATTGTTCTCTTAGTGCCAAATAATTATGGTTTCCCGCCAAAACAAGTACTACAAATTATGTGAGCCGTCGTCAATTGGGCACAATCATTCACTATGTTGTTTTTTTATGTCGCGGCTGCATTTCGGAGGATGCCACTGATGAGAAATGGACTAGTTATCAACGTATACAATTCAAATAACACCGTGTAAAACATATCTCTTCTAAGAGACTAGGAGCAAAAAGGTTTGGGCAAAGAAGGACTGGCCCGCCGTTATTTTGCCCGCTGTTGAAAGACAGGAAAACGCTTGTGCTTTTTTAAACGATAAAACTAAAACTTGCATGCTGGCTACAGAAAAGATTAAAATGCACAAATTCAGTGTTTGTAAAGCTAATTCTATTAAAAATAACGAAAACACACACACGCATATATATATATATATATATATATATATATATATATATATATATATATATATCTTTTTTTCCCACGAAATTATGTTATAGACAAAACATGTTGGTATTCTCCACATTCGGTGCGAATTGCCATTACGAGGGCGCCACCGCATTTGGTGCCCCAGTACACTTTCGGTAGTGCATTTATTTCTTCTTCAGCAACACAGAGCGATCGGGTAAGACGATGTTCTTTTAGAGAAGTACTTGTAATACGTTCGCAACAACCTGCGCGCTTTGTAGAACGTGGTGCAAGTAACAAAGGAATGCGAGACAAAAAAAAAAAAAAAAAGAAAATTGGAAGCGCGCAGGGGTTCGCCGACAGCGGGCGGCAGCGAGCTTGTTTGCAAACAAACATCGGTGAATAATTTAGTCTCCAGGCGTAACCGGGGTCATTTGAATGGGGTACGAAATCTCGAGGAATTCCTCCGTAGAGAAATCGCCCAGAAGCGTCTGTGAAGCCAAATGCCTCTCGAATGGAGGAGTAGATTTTTGTCTCCACTCCACCGAGTTGAGTTGGAGTTTGAGCCGAACATCGAGGGGTTTAAGAATGGGGGTATTTACCGGACGCCATATTTGAATGTGCTGTTCAGAGCGCATGCTCACAACGAGTTCACAAATCAACTGCGGAAGCTCGCCTTCAGCACGCGCTTAGCAGCCGCGCACACAAGTATGGCCGCCACCGAATACTCCCTATATGGCCCAGGGGCGGATACGGAACTTTGATTGGGGGGGGGAGGGCGAAAAATTTGTAAGGTACTTTTCTCCCATTCTTTCGTGTGCACCGTGGGGTCCACCCATGTAAAACTGCCCTCTGAGAAGGGGGGAGGGGAAAGGTAGACTTCGTTCGGGGGGGGGGGGGGGGGGGTGGCCACCCCCGTCGCTCCCCCCTTCCCCCCCCTTGGATCCGCCCCTGATACGGCCGCAAGTATAAGACGCCCAAGCATATAAGTGTACTGCCGCGCGATGCACACATAGCAGCAGCTATTGTCCTTCTTTGAGCAGCTTAGACTTCGAGAAGTGCAATGGTCGTGCCTCTCAATGACAGAAAGGGCGTCCACCTTTTCCTTCTTTGGCACTGCAGCCGCACTTTATCAGTGGAGCACGTCACTGTGACGAGGCAATTTTGGCGCTGGTTGATTTGCCTTATCGGGTAGTAGCTCTCACTGCGGTGGGACTTAAAGTACAACGGAGTAGAGACCTTTGCATCGCTTATCAAACGGGCGAAAAATGCTGAGTCACTGAGCTGTAAACGCATGTGCAACGTCTGATATACCGCAAGACAGAGCAACAGCGCATGCTCAGAATGCATTTCAAAGCCCAGCAAACAAGGATGGCACCGCTTTGCAAAGGTCTACATAGAGACCTCTGCAAAGGTCTCTATGTAGACGAGGAAGCTCCTGAGAGCGTGTAAATCAGCGTGTAGACCAGCGTGTGTAGACAAGCGTGTAGACCCGAAAGCGTGTAGACAAGCGGGCCCCGACTTACTGCCTCCCTGCTTGCCCTTCTCCTCGGACTCTTCCCCGGCCGACGGCGCTCTGGCGTGGCCGGCCGGATCGGTGCGGCCCGCTTTCTTGTACGCGTTCCACATCGCGTCCGCCGAATTCCTCCCGCTCCTTCTTCTTTGCTCGGCAGCTGCTCTTTGACTTCTTCGTCCGCGCCACAATACATTTGATGGCGCGTGACCCGTTGCGGAAATCGGCCAAGGGTTAAGGGTAGACTCTTTCTAAATTCAGTCTCGTGCAAAACGTATTTTTATATTGAACTATTCCATCATTCACAATTACGTTGTTTGGGCTTTCTTAGTTCCAGGACTCAATGTATTTATAAACAAAACATACCCTTCTGAGAAAAACTTTCTTTGGAATTTCAGAAGTGAAGAGTGCACATGTACAGATATAGCGTTATACCGCTCGTGCGCTATAACGCTCCGTGCGGGAACTATAGGGGGCGCTTTGAAAGACGCGCGTAGCGCCGCTAGCGGAGGGGCTGGCGTTCGACAGTGAGGCGCGTTCAGCAGCTTGCGGCGCCTTTTCGCGTGCGAAGCTGTGGCGGCGGAAACGCGCATGGACGAAACTTTTGCTTTTTGAGCCGACACGTTGAGGGTGACGTTGCATGAGTGCTGGGGCAGACCTAAGAAGGGCATCTAGCTGTTTTCCACTTTTTATATATTGAGTTTGAGTCGTTATTAGGGGTGATTTCTTTAGTTGCGGTCGAAAAAGGGGTTTGAGCAATTTTCCGAAAAGCAAGACGGCCACCACCATAATTGCTCTGAGTGAGAAATTTGTTTCGCTCGTCGCTGTAAACAGGACTGCTGGAACGATGATATTTGGAGGCGAGAGAGATGTTCACTAAGGTTTTGCACGAAGTGTGCCAAGGTTCATTAAGACAGCAGGCGCGAAAGTTATGTTTCTAACGAATAAAGAAATAAAGCTGTACAGGATATCCAATATTGAACCCAAAATTTTGTGTTATAACCGGGCTGTGCGAAGTGCAGATTTGGGCACACAGGTGCTTGGACTTGACAGTAACATGATACAGCACTTATTATACCAAAAAGAGATGGCATAGGGAAACCAGGTGGAAATTTGGTTTGGGCGGCGTAACTCAATGGCTAACCGGTTTTGACAATGAAAGGGTTGTCAAGAGGATACCACTCGTCGTGGGAGTTAGAAACTTGACCGGCAGGAAGGGACTAGTGGACTGTACTCCCAATTGAAACAACTTTACGAAAGATGGTTCCAAAGCCGAGAAAACAAAGCTGTCGGCCAAGGCACGGTTTGGCCGCCAAAGGCTTTTGCGGTTAGCTGTTGTGTAATAACCTGTCGCGCGAGGTGCTGATTTTCGGCACACAGGTACTTTGACATGACCGTAACTTGACACACCACTTATTATACCAAAAAGAGGTGGCAGAGTGAAACCAAGTGGAAAATTAGTTTTGGCTGCGTAACTAAATGGGAACCAGTTTTGACCATCAAAGGCTGTCAAGATAATACCACTCATCGTGGGAGGTGCACACTTTACAGGTAGGAAGGGACCAATAGACGGTACTTCCAGTTCTAACAACTTTGTCATAGATAGCTCTAAAACCGAGAAAAATATTGTTGGCCAGAACTCGGGGTGTCAGCGTTTCCACATCCAAAAGGAGGCTGACCAAAAAAGAAAGCACACCACATAAACTTCCCTACTCAATCGTCAATTCTCCAGTGATTCCGAGTTTCATTGTAGTTTTCCTTAAATTCATATTTGTCACTTTTTTTTACCGTTCGAATCTTTCTGCATGAGGTACGGATTGCTTGCCATACTTGTCCGGAAATATCATCGACACGTACCATGGGGACGAAACATCTTTGGAGGGCATTCCTCCAACGAAATTGGCACTGCATACCCGCGAATATGGGATGGCATTTCAGTTCGTTCCATCGGCGCTAACACATGTAGGCGTCACTGGTACGAAAACAAACGCAGAGCGCAAAGTGGCAGTGTAGAATATGTCAGCAGTGCCAACACAGTGGCAGTTATGATCGGGAGACTAAATTTCTCGCGTATTGCGGCACGGGTCCATCGTTGTCGCTGTCCCACAAAACATCGGCGAGGTGAAAAACTGTGAAATTTTGTCCCCACGAAATACGACGCATGACTATTGAAGTACTTAACGACGCAGCACCCGCAGCACATCAAGCTGTGAACCCAGCGCAACCGCACCGCTCCAACTTCAATGCGTACCAACGTACGTGGCGTGGTTTCGGTTTCGTTTTCTCTGGGGTTCTCACTGCCTACCTTCGGTAAGGGCCGCGTGGCGGCGCGCCAGTCGCGTCGCACGGAGCGTATAGCTATGACTGTATAGCCACAGAAAGTTACACATGAGTAGTACGTAGATGACTTTCGTTTTCTTTATATCACACTGCTACTTGGCCAATCCCCTTCTTCGGTTTGCGTCATCAACTTAAGGAAAACAACCACAACGACAACAAGAGCAGTCTGACCACGCCGATAACTATTTTTGTCTGAATGTTAGGTTAGGGTGTATGGCATCTATCGCGTACAAAGGGTGGACTTCTGTTGACTGGTGCGGCGGATAGCGGATGGCTGAGTGAAAAGAACGAATTAGATATAAGCATCGCGTCAGCGTTCATTTCCGATTCGCGTCCCATCAATCAGTTGACTCAGGCTCAATCTACAAGCCCATTGGCGTGAAGTCCCTTGATATCTATTTACAAGTAATGCCAACCAATACAAATGGCAAGGCACATTCCGCTGGAACAAAACAGCCGCATTCATTTCATACCTCTGCTATGCGCCGACATTCGCTTTCTAAAACCTGCACCGTCACGCCGTCGGCGCTTCAAAGAATGTCGCTACTTTTAGGAAGCTCTAATCTCGGGACTTTACCTTGACGTGGCCAATTTAATCCAGGGTTTTACTCGGGCCAGTGCTTCCTGCAGATGAGACACTTTTGTTTGTCACCATTGAAACTAAAACAAATCGAGGAAGGATTGTACGACGCAGAACATGTTCGCTCCAGCCACTGACGCACGAAAGTCTTGGTACCCATTAAATACAACAGTTTTTCTTTCATTAAACAACTCCAAAATATTTTTGTGTGAAATGGTGAATGCCCATGTGCACTTCATATAATGTAATCGACTCCCTTCCTCGCACTACGTCTTAGGGTCAATGTGTATATTTGATTGTTGAAGGCCCAGTCAGTGGGACATTTTATCGTTTCATCTTCCTAAAAGAAGAATGCCTTACGTCAGCAATGTGAAGGTGGAGTTTAGCTGGCACAGCGGAACCACTAACATGGAGTGTTTAAAAGGGTACAAAAACGAATTGTTTGCACTTGTGCGAACAAGTGCAAACATCATAGACCACATCTTTGTTTAGATGTTGTCTATTCTGCCGGCAGCCAAAAAACAGTAGTCTAAACTAGTGCCTCTGGGCAGCCGGCAGGGAAGTCAAGAAAACTAATTTTGAAACGAATGAACAGATTTCAGTCTTGCGTCTGGTGGCGGTCTGTGAAGCTCTGTTCGAAGGCAGCTGAAACGTGATGAGTTCCTAAGAAGCCGCACCGGTTTGCGGCAGTACGCCTCGCTAGTGGAATTACTTAGTCCTGAACGTGACTCGGCGGAGAACGCTAACCCGTTTACTACTTTGTTTATGTTAAAGCTTCCACAGTGCCTCGGCAACGTGCATTCCACACCACCATGCTCGCCATTCTTCGCAGACATTAGGTATAGGAGCTTGATCTGAGGATGCGGGGACTTCTGCCAAGCCAACCACATCACACCACTCTCCCCTCCCCGGGTGTGCTGAAGGCGTACAGTTCTCGGATATTACTACTAGGCGAGGCTGTCACGCGTCGACGCCGCCAAGCGGCAAGGCTCGCAACTACAGTAATCTTGGCCATGCTTGAACTATGGACGTTACGAGCGCGATACGCACTGCGCTTCTCGCTGGACGACATTAAAGCGAGGGGTTGAGAGCTCGCGATTACGTCATTTCGTTTGCGTACCACTTTAAATTAACGCCCACTATTAGGATCGAATTTTACTAAGTGAGCATCGCGTAGTGGGACACGTGAGAACTAGCACATGATGGTCATGTGAATTTAAAGCAGGGGTCACACTTCTCATACATCATACAAAATACCGTCTACATGCAGGTTCGAACACGATTGAGTCACCGCTAGATCCGTGTTTTGAATGCCGCATGACAATGAGTTCAATGAGAGAACTTTTCACGCGACACTCGAACCACGGACATTGCGGCGTCTCGTGTTCGCAAGCTGCCTTTTGCATGAGTATGATGTATGATCAGTGTGACCCCGGCTTAAATGGCCCCCCAACTGCACTCTCCACAGTTTCCATCTACAGAGTGTAAGAGTGTTCTCACCACACACTGTATGTACTAATATTTCATATCGTTGCGCTCCTTCCAGTTTGAAGTCTGTAGATCTAATGGGCCTGTTACTCAAATTCTCGGTACGCTCTATCGCTAATCCGGGAAGCGTCTAAATGGTCTTCTGAAACATTTATTCGGTGATCACGCCCGCGTTTCTCACTCCAGAAAGCAGAACGAAAATGCTGCGTGTTGCAGCGGTCATTCAGGGCTAACCCCAGCCCCGCACACTTCGGCAATGCCGAAGCGAGCAAAAAACAACAAAATGGCGAACGGCCGTGTATGCTACCGCTGCTCATGCGCGTATAGGCAACCCCGGGAAAGGCCCATTTCGTTTCGGAAACTTCCGAAAGTTCTGCAAAGTGCCTCTTCGCGATCCGGTTGCGTGGTGTCCGGAACTATCGATCATGCCCTCATCAGTCCTGTTATGCAGTCACGTTCCGCGATGTCCCAAGCCGCGGTCGCACCGCTAATACATTGTACAAAAGACAGTTTGCAAACACTGTCTGGGGCGTGTTTCTTCCTCGTATGAAGGACATGTCACATCGGGCAGACGAAAACTGTCTGCAGTCGTGTTCTAGGCATACGTTATGCACGAAGCAAACATGCTTCCATTATGCTTGAAGGGCGTCCGCAGATAGTAGGGAGTTTTAGCATTTAGGGAACCGTTTTGCACATCCGATACGCTGCGAGGGGCCCCTCGGTACGAAGTGTGCATATGCGAGTCTTCTATCGTGGCGCATGCGCAGTTCGTGCAGGAGAGCCCATCGTACCGTATCGGATGTGCGAAAGCGGTTCCCTAAAACTCTCTAATGCAGTCCTCGTGTCTGCAGGGAACGTCGAGACTCCCGGTACACCGCAAGAGAGCGTCCCATCTAATATTGGGGACTTTTAGCAAACCGTTGCAGTGTTTCGCGTACCGCACTACCGGAGCCTTTGAAGCATGCTTCTCAGCGCGCGCCCCGCGGTCACGGTATCCTCAAAGCACGCTCTTAAAAGCATGCTTTAAAGGCTTTGGCAGTGCGGCACGCAGAACTCGGTAACGGTTTGCTAAAAGTCCCGATTAGGGAGTCTTAAGCATGCTTTCCTTTAAAGCGCACGCCCGGGTGATACTCTGGCCGCGGGGCACGCGCTTAAAAGCACGTCTCAAAGGCTCCGACAGTGCGGCCGGTACTCGGGACGCGGCAGCGATTTGCTAAAGGTCCCCAATATCATGACGGTGGGCTCGCTTTCTCTACGGACACGATGCATGTACTTGCCCTCCGAAGAGCATAAACCCAAATCAGCACCACATTGCGTTTCTGAACTTTCTCGGCGCACGCTCAGACACAAAAGGTATATATTCTGATACCCCCTTTGTCCCATATAAGACATCCCGAATTTCCAGGTCGACGTACGGCGCATTGACGTCGAACCAACGGTACACACCTTCGCGAGCCGCTTAATAGCCGAGTGGTACAACTTGTTAAAATAGCTAATGTATAATTTACTGAACTGAAAAAAAAAAAAAAAAAAATCCGGGTCTTGATGGCCATGCTGCAAAACATCAATGTTTTTTTTAAATATTTTTTTATGTAGTCTTTTATAAATACGTTAGCTGTTTAATAACACCTTTCTAAACGTTAGGGCTGTCTGTTCGAGGGCATTGCGGTGTAATTCACATGTCAAACTGAAGTTTTGGGGTGAATTATATGGGACAAATGGATGTCCTTTTTTTCAGATGTAGCACGTGATTGTGCAAGATTATTGCAAGAATTGTCGTGGATGGAAAAATAATGACTCACCTTTTGCCGAAAATATCCGAGCAACGTAATTTTATGCAATGAAGAAGTAAAAATACAAAAAAACTGGTTTCAATGTTGCATAGTGATTATCATGTCGACCTCTCACGTGCAACGTCTGCGATTGAATCTCGGCCGGAAAAATTTGCCGCAAACAGCAAATTGTTTTTGCAAATATTTTAAAACTTTACGCAAAATGCTTGTTCACGTCTGTTTCCGTGGTGTAGCGGTTATCACGTGCGCCTCACACGCGCAAGGTCCCCGGTTCGATCCCGGGCGGAAACAGTTTTTTTGTTTTTATTATTTTCTTTTTTTATGCAACAGGCAAGACCTTGTTCAAACAGCTTCGGAAGACTCGGTGGCGTGCCTCCCTCTTTTCTCACCTTTTCTGTGGTCACAGGTTCTACTTCCGGCAAGCACAGTTTTGCGATGTCCACTTCCGGCGCCCAACGAGCACGGACACCGGAAAGCGCGGAGCGCTTTTTATTCTAAATTCTGAGTTTTTACCAACTTTCGTTCATCGTCCATAAAATTCGCAATCTTACGGATTTTTTGTGCCATATTTATTTAAACAAACGTTTCATAGACAGAGCAAAAGCAGCTCAGAATTCTACGATATTAACGACTTCGTCGGAAATAAGCGTTTACAGACAATTAACTGCTCTCATCTTGTTTGGGACGAGGTCTCTTCGCCTGATGATGCGCAGATTGGAATGCTGGTATTCAGCAGTGAGGAAGGCGCCTTTTCTCTTCACCGTTCTAACTTGCCAGCGGCAGAACGTACAGGCCACAAAGATTGCGACGACTGTAAGAAGAGAGATATGTGCAAGGCATCCAAGTGAAACGGATTCTTTGACTTAAAGGTGCTCTGTGGAGGTTTCTGAGATCTCCTAAATAAGGTGAAAGCTCACCCTGCGGGCTCTAAGTATCCTAGAAATGCAAAAATCCTAACGATACGTGGCCAATTTCTCCATTAAAAAAGGCAATCAAAATCCTCCCCCCAGTCTCGGGGCTTTGTCCAAAATGTTAAACCTTCACCAGCTTGTTCGCGCCCTAACGTTTTGTTCGTTTACACCGAGTTCATCTCCGACGATGGGAGACATTGTTCCGGCAGCCAGGACGACATGTGAGCAATGAAATTGCGACATTTCGTTGAGATTGCAAACGATGTTGTACAAAATGTGAATGCTTTTTTTGTAGATGGTAAAAGCAAATAAGAGTAGTCGAAGAATATTAACTTTTCGCGGAGAGGGAACACAATACTGCAATAACCGCCTCAAGAACAACGCCCTAAGTATTTTTCTTTTGTACATTGTTTTTCGCGCGAGTGATGTGCTTAGGTCGTCAGCTCTCGAGCGCGCTCGCTGGGTTGAATCGTGGTCCGGGCTGTAGGGGCAACGAGCCGTGCGCACTCGAGATATGACTCCGTGGTTCCACCGGTCGGTAGGCGTGGGGGATCATTTGCTTGCATTGGCTGACAGTGGTCCTAAATTCGAAACATGCTCTTTCTATTGACGGAGACGGAGTTGCGATCTTTGGTCGCCTTTTTAACAGGGTAATCGGCCGCGTATCGTCATTATTTAGTGATTTCTAAGATGCTTAGAGCCAGCAAAGTGAATTATTTCCATATTTAGGCGATCTAAGAAACCTCCTCAGGGCACATTTAGTCATCTGGGAGCGTTTGTTTTTTGCTATTTGCCCGAAGGTATTGAGAGAGCCTGTGTGAATATGAATTCCCTGGCGGTCAACGTAAATGGGTCAAGGTACCGTGCGCATACATTAATATTCAACATAAGAAAGCCCAGGGAAAAGATGAAGGTCCGAAGCTGCGCGACTAGGCAGGCCAAACGCGTTCGACTATTGTCACAATGCGGTTACCCTTTTTCGTAATTAGGGTGCAAAAATTTCCCTTTCGGACTTGAATAAACAAACATTTAAAAAAATCAATAGTAAAAATTGGTGCACTGTACAAAATTCCCGTAAAGTGGGGCTCTTCCTATGTTGGCCAGACTACTAGGTGTATTAATGACCTACTCTGTGAACACAAGACAGCTCTTAAAAATAGCAACGAGGCTTCCGCGTTGGCCAAGCACATGTCCCAGTGCGTTGATAGTTGTGCTGTGTGGCAAGATACTGAGACTTTGTGTAAGGAAAGAGACCTCTCTAAACGTGTTTTAAAGGAGTCATTGGTGATTTCAATGAATAGTGGTTGTTTTAGCAATATGTCCGTTGCTCTTTCCAACCCTATTAAAACGTTTCTTAACACTTTATATTTTTTTTAAAAAGTTTTTAGTTTGGCTGTTGGTCTGGCCGATTGGGGGGGGGGGGGGGGGGGGGTGTTGATGTGCTTATCTTGCTGGTTCTTTTTTGTTTGTGGCTTGCCTTTAGGGAGTGCGCGGGTTTTTCCGGGCTCTCCAGTGTCCCTACAAAATAGTGTCCTCTTGTCAGTCGTCGGGGTCCTTTGTTCTCTTGTGTTGGTTCTTACCTGCCACGGATGTGTGACCTTGAGCAGCGTGTGTCTCCTTGTGAGTTTCTGGATTTATTTAAGGAGGTGTGCTGAAAAATAAATCTTTCGCTGAGTTTGGAGATTCGTGTCTGTCCGTTCCTTTTTGTCCCCTAGCTCCAGGGTTACTAAGTCTACCCTTAACCAGCTAGCCTGCCTACTTGCCTTAGTCAAATCAAGTCGTATTTTTATGACTAGCAGCCCCAAATTCGAACTTCCTTGCAAAATTAGAATAACCAATATTACCGTGTGCGCGGCCGGAAGAAACTACCTCTCCGTACTTTTAAATGAATAGTGTTTACTCTTACCTCGAGTGTAATAGATAAGGAGGCCAACATAACCTTGCCGACTCAGTTTCCCGAGTATTCGACGCTCGAACATTCTAGACCGAATGTTAGATATATCGAGCATAGTAGAAAGGGAGCCCAGAGCGGCTTCGTTGACTCACTCTCGAACCCTCGCACTAGCCAGCTCTCCCGCCGACGCCTTGATGCTTTCTGCCGTTGCCTTCGACGCTCGTTCTTTCTTTTATTTCAGGCACAAGTTCGACGATTAAGACTTTATTTTTAGTTTTACAATTGTCGATCTTGTTCTATCCATGACATTTCTCGTAGTGCTGCGGGGTAACTTTCTATGCCCCTTCCTTGTAAGCCCCCGAGGAGCCGCCGGACCAGAGTGACTTCAAGCCCCGGAGAACTTTCTTCTGTGGAGCCAGGCAAAATCCGAGCAATCAGCTGTACTGAAGGCCAGCCACCGGAATTCGGTCAACTGGTGAAACAGTAAAGAAAGAAGTCGACGAACCCAGAGATGTTTCCAAAAGCCCTGCCGACCGACACCCCTGCTGCCCTATCCCCCGTCGTCTTCCTACCCGTCGCATTTCGTACGCCGACGCCTTCCACGACGAAGTTTACAAAGACGTCGGCGACTGAATAGAACAGTACGAACAGATGGCACGCCAAAACCGATGGACACCAGAGCAGAGTGTCCAGAACATCGAGTTCTCACGGGATGGAACGGCACGGCTCTGGTTCGAAAACCACGAAGCGTCCATCGCCTCCTGGGAAACGTTCAAAGCGCAGCTCCGTTATGCCTTTGCGATCAAGCAGCGTCGTGAACGCGCTGAAGAACTACTCCGGTTCAAAATTCAAGACCGAATGAAAGCCTCGTCAGTTTAGTCGAAGACGCGGATCCCCAAGCGCAGGAACCGAAAAGCTCGAAATCTTCATGCGAGGAGTAAAGAAAAGAATCTTCAGGTGCCTCGTCTAAAACCCGTCTGGGACCGTCGCGGCACCCTTGAAAAAGGCCACAAACATCAAGCGAGCCCTCCAAGAGCGAGCCGCCCACTACCAGTGACTGCCTAACGTCGCTGAACCTGCGTTGACTATCGCAAAGCCAGCACCGGCCTCCCTTCCGGGGATTCGAGGAATTATGAGCAACGTCCTTTGGGAATAGCTCAGGAAATTTCTTCCTGCTGCCGATTGCTCGGCTTCACTCTCCGCCAGCGAAAGAGTACCCGGGGAATTCCTAGCGATCCATTCAACTGGAGTCTTCCATCCACGCAGCAACAGCCCGTGAAGAAGCGCCGTCGGTGACGTACTCCGCGATTGCCAGGAGGCCAGCAGTAGTGCCCCGCCAGCACTCAACGCCGCCTCGGCAGGACAGCCCGACGCCAGAGTATGTCCGGCGCCAAGACGACCGGGACCAGTAAACGAGATCGGAATAACCTGCGCCATTCAAGACCGACGTGTGGATAACGATCGACCGTCGGCCGCTGTGCTACCACCACTGCTAAGAAGCCGACTACATCTACCGTCGTTGCCCTTACCTGCAACTAGGGCTGCGCGGCTTCCACCCGAACGATCTACGCTTAGGCTACGGTGTGCTACCTCGGAAGATCGACGAGTAGCTTTGACGACATCGGTTTCTTTCGCTCGTACCTCGCCGCGTGCCTCGAAGTCATGGTAACTGAGCGAGGGTCAGCGTGTATGGCCCAGCTGACCCAGGAGATTCTTCGGCTATGCCACACTAGCCACCGTTTAACCACTGCGTACCATCCGGAGACCAACGGACTGACAGAACGGCTCAACAAGACCATCGCCGGCATACTCAATGTACGTGGACGTAGAACACAAGACGTGGGACGAGGTGCTATCCTACGTCACATTCGCCTAGAACACGACGGTCCAAGAAACAACCGGAGTGACCCCAGTTCGGCTGACGTATGGCAAAAGGTGACGAGGATGCTCGACGCGATGCTGTCCCACAGCCTTTCCAAGAGCACAGCACCGAGGACGCTCATTTGGTCACCCAGCGAGCAGAAGGCTTACGCCAGTTAGGCCGCCTTCGGACCTAAGCCCAACAACGTTTCGACGCTGGCCGGTACAACCTTCATTGTCGCGACGTCCACTTCGAACAAGGAGACAGGGTGTGGGTGTGGACGCCCATTCGCCGCCGTGGTCTCAGCGAAAAACTGCTAAACGGTACTTCAGACCCTACAAGGTTATTCGCCTCATTGAGAACTTGAATTACAAAGTGCTCCCCGACGGAACCCAACCATCAGTAATCCGCTAGCCGCGACCCGAAGTGGTGCACGTCGTTCGTCTTAAGCCATACTATGCTCGACAGGACTGAAGTCTAGTCGTTGTTCAGACGACCGCGTAGCTTGCTATATTCCGTTTCACACTTAGCGTGCAACGCTGTCAAAGCTACTGGCGCGAGCGCGTGGCTTCATCTATGGTTTTGTTTGCGCGAGAAGGCGTGCAAATGATCAACGAGATCAAGC